GAGTTCTCGTGTGGAACGACTTTCACAATATAAATGAAAGCACAGGAAAAAATATTGCAGAAGGGAGAAAGAAAACTTTGTTTGCTTAGACGACCCTTTAGCCTTTAAGCGATCGGAATTGAGTTTCAAATGTAATAGTCTTTGCCCTGGATCTTAAGGTTAAAATAGAAGAATTAAAATAATTAAAAATAGCATTATACTAATTTTGGAAGCATAACAGTTAAAAAAAATGTTTTCTTTTTTAATTTTAAACTTTTAATTTAAAATATGTTTATTTATTTACAATTGCATATTTTTTATATTTACAAAAATCTTATTTAAATTTTATTTTTATTTTATGTAAAAATATTCCAATTTTTAAAATAATTGTTCGTTTGATGAAACCTATCTTTTTATAATTCATTAAGTCAATTACAAATAATAATTTGATTATCAAATATTCCCGTTAACATAACAATCAACTGAGAACTGAGGTGGTCAATTAAGCAATTTTAGACAAACTGCCCCGTGGAATATAATTTGTTTTTAAACTTATTGGGGTCGATCTAATCGCCTGACATGTTTCTGAAAGTCGCTTCCGCTCATTATAACCTTGGTACTGAGAACTAAACTGCATATATCGTGCGCGACGTATAAAGAACAACCCTCTATTGTGCTTTTGGGCGATGACTTACAAAACACCAGGTGGCTCACGTAACGTTATTCACCAGAGCGAGATGTCATGTAAATTCCGCGTGCTCCTCTGGGGCTGTCTCTGTGATCCGCACAAGCGATTAATGCGGTGCGGCTGCGAAATTGCATGATGGGGTACGTCGGGCTGATTGATGGCGAACGAATTTTGATTTTCCTGCTCTCTGTGTGTATATTTATTTCGAAAGCACCGCTCACGTGACCCACTTTACCCGCAGCAAATTTAAAATTTACACACTGCACGTCGGAAGAGCGGCAATTTATCACGGCACGATCCGCAATTTATCGCTTCCCGATCGAAACGAAACCGAATTTACTATTATCGCTGAGGTGCAAGCGCGCACGCTAATGATATCGTGGGGATGTTGGAACTAACTATGGGCACCAACTGATTACTGCACGTGTTAATTGCGATTGCAAACAAAGATAATTGGCACGGAATCAAAGGATATTGCGCAAGGGCAATGTAAAAAGTGTTAAACGCTATTGTTTACTTTTTATTATTTAATCAATCTGTTTTATCATTTTGTTGTTCAAAACCTTTCAAAAAAATAATAAAACAATAATTTCTACAATCGCCTCGTAACGCAGGCAAAAGTTTTATTAAATAGAGCTAATAAATTAAAGTTCATAGTATAAACTTCAATTAAACTCTATTTAATAAAACTTTTACCTAACGTTATGAGGTGATTGTAGAACTTATATAGAATGACAATAACTGCTGCTTTTTCTCAATTTCGTAAACCTGCCTTTAAATTCAAATCTAGTCTTACGAGTCATTCAAAACTAATATGTATGCAATCTGCGAAAAAAATTAAGTGCGACTGAAAATGAATAAATTTAATTCGTTCAGTATTATTTTTTAATTAAAATTCACGTTTAATAGTGTTCAATACTCTCAGAAATTAAACTCGTTCTTTATTTAAACTATATGGGCTTCTGTAAATTAAGACAGCAAAATAAGTATATTAGCAACTGCTAATTTCTGCCCCTATCAATTTAACCGTTAATTTAATTTTCTCCCAGTTGAATTGATATAATGTGGAATTGCAAGGCAGTAACAACATAAGCAATAATTGTAGAGATGTTCTGCAAAAAGAAAACATTTTTTTTTAAAGTAGTTTATAACATAATTTTAAATAATCAGTACCTGAGCCAGAAAAGTTTTATTGATGGAAAACATGCCGTAAATGGAAAATTCGCATTTTTCATTTAACATCACTTGCGTTCTCCATTCTCTGACCTGCTGATTAATTTTTGTGTTTAATTTAATGTCAGTCATCAATTAAACGTCGAATAAAAATACCTGAAATGCGATTTTTCGCTCTTTATATTCTAGCTTCCATAGGTATTTGCTTGTCTTCCTTGCCTAAATTCAAAATTAAAATTTTTTAATTATTCAAATATATTTATTTTATACTTCAGTAATTGTCCTATCGCATTCAAGGCACAGTAAGACATTGCTTAAGCAACTTCCAATCAACCAAAAAGTGCTGGAAATCACATGGAAAAAAGGTTGAGAATCGTATTCCAATCCGCCTATTAGTATGAGCGCATAATAGCTCGAGGTGGTGGTGTTAATGAAGTTCATGCAGAGGGTGGAAATCAGCATGCCTTGAAAATGCTTGCTAACCGTAAGAATTAGATCACACGCGTCACGATGCATTTTAACCAAGAAGTCTAGGTTCGTCATTGACATTTTATTCGCCAAGATATTCTGAATTTGTTCATTTATTGCGAGAATAATTTGGCGAATAGAAAATACAACCAGATGCATTCTTAAATCCATCAACCAAGACAAGAGGTTGACGCAAAAATTTAACAATAGCGTCGAATTAAAATTCCAACTGAAAAACTCCTCAAAAAGCAGCATGCTAAACAAAATTGCGGAACAAAACACAGTCCTTTGCGTTCTTCTGGTTAAAAGATGAAAAAATGCAGTCTGGTTGAAATAAGGATTGTTTGAAATTCTGTCAATGCTTTTCAAAATATGGTCAAAGTCTTTCCACTTTTTGTTTGCGGAAAAGTACGATATTGCAATGAAGATTCCACAGGCCTGAAAAAACTATTTCAATCATTACTACTTAAGGTTTTATGTGTTTGAATACCTGATATGGAATTGACGACAATAAAAGAATTGCACTACCAGAAGGTCTTGTGATGAAAATTTTGAGCATAGTCAGTGCTGCAAAAACAATCATTGCTCCTGAATTTGCAAAAGAGTAAAACAGATGGGCCCAGGAAGAACTTTGATCAGCAAATCCGAAAATTTTTGTCAAAAATCTTAGAGAGGCTAAGGCGCACGATAGCGACCCTATGGGCCGCTCCATAGCTTATTGTGTGACCACTGCTTGTCATTTTGTAGGATCACAAAATACACCTTCTATTCACCAGCATGAATTATTTTGATTGGCATTTTATCAATATTACTGCGGCTCGCACTTTTGTCGTGAAATTTATTGCAATTTTAATCTATTGATTGCGTCAAAAGGTTATTTTACTAATATATTGTGTGTTTTTGTGGCGCTATGAATTGACTGTTAGAAAAGATAAAATTATTTTTGTTTTTTTACCGAGTAAAAAAACACAGTTAAATAATCAACCGTGTAATTGTGAAATAATTTTTAGGAGAGCATTTAATTTTTTTCCGCTGGTGAGGTTATTTAAATACAATGAAGACGGGAATGTATAACCATTTTTATCAATATTTATGAAATATATATTTATTTCCCACTGCACGTGTTTTGTTCTCTCTTCAAGGGAAAGAATAAAGAAGCGTTCAATATAAATGCACTTTTTATTCTATGAAATATATAATTTTTTTACTGATTGCCTGCCATTTGAATTGATATTATGTGGAATTGTAAGGCAGTGAAAATATACCCAACAATTGCAACAACGCTCTGAAAAAAGAACAAGTAATTAAAAGAGATTTCCGAGATTTCATTATCAAAGCAAGATTACCTGAGATAGAAAAGTTTTATTGACGGAGAAAAGGCCATAAACGGAAATTTCACATTTCTCATTTATCATCACTTGCGTTCTTAGAGCTCTGACCTATATCGATTCGATTTATTACTTTTTCGATAAAAAAAAAGAAATTTAAAAGCTTTTACTTGATAATCTATTTTTATCTCTTTGTATTCCAATTTCCATAGCAATTTACTTGTTTTTCGTACCTATTCCAAATTTCTTAAAATGATTATTTAAGGTAAAATAAATTTTTATTATTTGTTACCTCATTAATTGTCTTGTCGCATTCAAAGCAAAGCAAGATGTTGTTTAAGCAACTTCCAACCATCCAAACCAAACTTGTCAATGCAAGAAAAAATCGGCGAGGTCTATTTTCTAATTCACCCAGCAAAATCAGGGAGTAATATGTTGCCGTGACGACATTAATGAAGTTTGTAAAAAGGGTGGAAATCAGCATGCTTTGGAAATTCTCGCTAACTGCCAGGATTAGCTCACAAACGCTGCGATGCATTTCAACCAAAGAAAGCAAGTTCGTTTCCAAATCTTTCACTGACAAATTTTTATCACCTTTTATTATTTTTATTTCTTTGTTAATTTTTTCGAGTAGTAAGCGAATTGAATATATGATCAAATGCATTCTTAAATCCATCAATCTTCCCAAGAGACTGACGAAAGTATTCAACACAAGTGTCGCATTAAAACTCCATGATGAAAATTGGTCGAAAAGAAGCACAAGAAATAAAATCGATGTAAAAATCATTATCCTCTGCGCCTTCTTGTTTACGTGTCGAAAAAAATCTCTATTTATAACTGCACGGTTAGCTAATTCGTCCAGGCTTTGCAAAATTTGGCCATAAAAGTTCCTTCTTCTGTTTGTAGCTAACAATGAAATTGAAAGAAATGTGTTACATCCCTAAAATGGCAATAATTTTGGTTAGTTGTCTACCTTAAAATTACTAAATGAATACCTGGAACATAAATGTGGCCATTGAAAGGGCTTGATTTGTATTCACTTCTAAGTTCAAGAAAGCTGGATAGATCCAAGTGTGTGTTGAAAAAACAATCAAACCCCCAGAACTGGCAAAACAATAAAGGAGATGCATCCAGGAAGAATTATGTTCTGCAATTCCGCAAATTTTGGTCAGAAATCGAACAGGAGCCAAAGCCCAAGATATTGACTCCTTCGGCCGCTCCATAGTTTTGAAAGAAAATTCCAGGTTGACTTTCGTTTGGCATTTAATCAATAAATATTATTTTGCTGCTCGCCGTGAAGAATTCATTATATTAAAACTGATATTATGCAGACAAACGTGAGTAGATTGAGTGAATATATTTTTATCGCAATGTTGTCAAGCACTTTTATTTTTAGCGTCCACTGAGCTATTCAATAGGGTCGCAGACCGGGACCAAAACTCGTACATTTAGTTTTTTTTTTTATTAAAATTTTTTCAACAATGAAAAAGCCCGTTTTCATCAGTTCTTCATATATTAAGGATTAATTGTGATACATTTTATAAATACGTCTGGACTCTCGAATCAAGAATTGAAATTTCAAAGACTTCAAATTTCGGAGTAAAATTTTACGCCAGATTGCATTTTATAAATCACCCATCTAATGCACATTGGTTTTAATTGCCTGACAATTGCATTGATATTATGTGGAATTGCAAGGCAGTGAAAATATAGCCCACGATTGCTGTGAAGTTCTGAAAAAAATATTGTTAATTTAAATGTGATGAATTAATTGAATTTCAAGTAAACATACCTGAGCTAGAAACGTTTTGTTGAAGGCGAACATACCGTAAATGGAAAATTCGCATTTCTCGTTTATCATCACTTTTGTTCTCAGTTCTCTCACCTGGATTAATTCCAATAATTTAATTTTTCACAAAATAAAATTAAATGAATACTAAATTACTTGATAGTCAATTTGTTGCTCTTTGTATTCCAACTTCCATAGTAATTTACTTGCTTTCCTAGCCTAATTAAAAATAAGATTAAAATCATATATAATTTAAATTATTTAAACACAAATGAACATTGTCACCTCAACTATTGTCTCGTCGCACTCAAAGCACAGCAATATGTTATTTAAGCAACTTATAATCAACCAAATCAAAGTGACAAGGGCATGAAGAAATCGACGCGGATCATCTTCTAATCCACCCAGCAGAAGGAGCACATAGTAGCACGTAGTGGTGGTGTTAATGAAGTTGGAAAAGAGGGTTGAAATGAGCGTGCCTTGGAAGTGCTTGCTAACTGCGAGGATTAGTTCACAAGCGCCACGATGTATTTCAACCAACGATAGCAAGTTTGTTTCCAGATCTACTTTTGCTTTGGGCTTTTCACCATCATTAATTACAATGTATTGGATTTCTCCGTTAACTTTGACAAGAATGCGGTGAATGGAAAACACGAATAAATGCACTCTTAAATCCATTAGCCCTCTTAAAAGATTCACATAAAAATTAAGCAGAAAAACCCACTGTAATTCCCATATTGCAAACACACAAAGTATTATAAGAAATAAAAGAAACGTTAAAATTATAGTCCTCTGCATCTTTTCCTTTAGTTTGTAACGCGCGACCGTGTCTCACCTAAACACAAGTGCCTAGGGTATCGCTAAGGCTGCTATTTAGACTAACAAAGAGACAGACGACCGCTCGCACAGGTGGTTTTTGATTATCTTAATAAAATGCTAATTTCAAATTAACAGAGTCCTCGGGCTTTGCTTTTCCTAACGGATGGTAATTGGGTGCGACAATTACCTAGAAAGAAGCTAATTGAAGATCGGTGTGTCTAGGGGATTTTTATGATTCTCTAACCACTTCTTTCTATTAAGAATTCCAAGCAACAAAGCAGCCCTTAATCAAATCTAACAAAATCAATCCTTGATTTATTCGGTCCTTCTTTATCAGTCAAAGGCGCCGATGACAATATTGACAGTGCCACGGTTCCCTAAAAAAGAATATACCAAAGTACGACTCTTTTCCAGTTCAAGAGACAATATTAATTCTAATTCTCTTATTCACACAAACTTTGCTATTTACACCTCTATACTGTGTATATAATATTCTGATCAATTATTCCAATTATTGCCTACCCAGGCTGACGGGATTTTATCTTAAACAATATCTGTCAAATGAAACACCTGCCGCTATTAATCATGAAGGTGCTCAATCGAGACTTGAGCCACCGATTCACCGACTTCAAGCGCCTATCAAAAGAATGCAATTTACGCTCAATAAACTTGAGCCAATTACACCTTAACTATTGAATAAATCTACCTGATTGCAGAAAAAGATCAATAACCTCCTTAATAGACTTAAGCAGATAAATTTCTCTTAATCGGCACCTAACAGCAAGGCTGGTAAAAAGTCCTTCACGAATGAAGTCTCTTATCCACCAATTTAATCTAATCTGTGAATTTAATCTACAGCCAGAATAACATTCAATACGACTTGAATCTCTTTAGGCTCCTATCAACAATTGCTAATTTACGCTCAATAAACTTGAGCCAATCAAGCAATTGATCTAAGCTACCAAAATGCTGTTTACGTTCAATGAACTTGAACCAACAAGCAATGATCCGGAATGCTTAGCTCCTTGGCCAGAGAGGTCCCACTCTCTGCTCTGCCTGAGCTCCAAGCACCGAACACCGAATGAATCTTGCCGGCTGAGCTGGCCTTTTTATACCAGCAGATCGGCTGGTCAGAATCTTCTAGAGGGAGAGTGATGCGCGCGCCACTTTGTTCTCCCTCACTCACTCTCTCCCTGCGGTGTGTGATAAAACTGCCGCCTGGTGGCGGTTTTGCTGAACTTCAAAAACCGGTGTTAATTTTCAAACCGGTATGCTATTTTCAACCGGTTATTTTGCCTCGATATCTTTTGATCAAATCAGATTTATTTACACTTTTCCTGTAAAACAAGCCATAATGGCTACAAGTTCTTGATAGTAAGTTTTGCGATCTAATTTGACAATATTATCAATTCTTTGCAAAATTTGGTGAAAAAATTTCCTTTTTCTGTTCATGAGCAATACAGAAATTGCAATAGAGACACCGCAAGCCTGAAAATTGTCATCAGTAAAACTCTTCTAATAATTTTTTTATATACATCACCTGGTAAAAAAAAGAAGCCAAAAAGATAGCCTGGTTTTGATTCAGCTCCAAATTGTTGAAAACCGAAAGAAACACTTGTGAGGTAAAAACAATCAATCCACCTAAATTGACAAAGCAATAAATCCGATGGACCAGAGAAGAATTATTATCCTCGATTCCGAAAATTTTAGTCAGAAATCTTAGTGGAGCCAAGACGTTAGCTATTGACTCCTGAGGTCGCTCCATGGTTTTGTGCGAAAAACACTTCTTTGTTGTAAGTACTCCGCCAATTTGGACTTTCCGCTAGACGGTAAATCGATAAGTCTAATATCCATAAATTCACAAGAAACAAAAATTGTGCATAAAAGCGAAAAGGTTACAAAGTGTTATTGGAAGCTCAATTTTGGGTATATTGATTTCGTAGAAAGGACGGAGTTCGCAAATCCATTTTACCTCATCCATCAGCCGGTCTCTAATTTACGCGAGCACAATTGATTATTTCAAAACGCCGCAAATTAATTTCATAGCCGGGAAATCATTAAAACGACTGCTCGGCCATTAATTTCGAATCAAATATTCAAAAGCAAATGATGCGTAAATTATACAGTTGTTTATATGCATGGGCAGTAACACTAGATTAATCATCAAATATGTATGTAGAAATGGGCCAACCAAGCACACGTGTAGCTGTTTTGGCGACGCAAAAAAAATTACACACGATTAATCTACTGAAAGAAGTTGATTGTGTCTAAATTAGACTAAATGAAGGAGAAGGATTGATGAGACAAATTATTTAACAGAGTTGAAATTTTATTACTCAGTATATTTGGCATTAAATGGAATTGTTTCGAAATTTAATATCATGATGATCTTTTATTGTTTTTTTATATGCCTAAAAATGGCATATAATAAAGTTCTACTAATATTACACTATAAAATAAATTCGAAAAAAGAAAAAATCCGTGAAAAACGACCTTATCCTTGTTGATAAATATGTATTTTATTAAAAAAAAAAAAAAAAAAAAAAACGTGACTATAGGCTGTTACAATACATATTTCATGAGCGCGATGAGCGGAAAATAAACAGAAAATAAGAATAAAAGATTAAAGTCTCAATTTAGTAATTGCAAATAATGCAAATTATTCGTTTCTACTTTCAGATTTTATATGCACAAAAAAATTAATAAATGAAAATGTCTACAATACTTGAATGTTTAGCAAATTAGAAACAAATAATTATTTTTTTAATGGTAAAAACCTAAAACCCACCAAGTCCTCAAAAAGGTGTGATAAAAATAATAACCCAAAATAATTATAGAAAATAATCTGCAATTTAGATCTAGATAAAACGAATATAAAAGTTCAGTAAAATTCTAATTTCTTTTGTTTCGTCCCAGCTTGAAGAATTATAAAATTTAAAATAATTTCCTTTCTTTCTAATGTAAACTAATGTAGAACGATATTTATCGAAGCTATGCAACCCGCTTGGCAGCAACAGGAGAAAAAGTTTAGTTGTAAAATTCCACAACTCATCTCCCTCCACCCCTCCTTCATCCTCACCAATTAACATGTTATTATGCATTTATTTTCTTTCAGTCTGCGAGTTTTCTTGCTCGATGCACACGTGTTTGGTGCGAGAGTGATCAGTGTGTTCGCGGAATCGGGTGAAGAAATTCGCGAAGTGGTGTGTGCGTGGACGGCGAGTGATGGATTACGTCGATTTCGCGGCTCATTTGCAACACGACGAGAGAGGACGGAAAATTGCAGAGGAATTCGTCGCTGATCTTTTGGAAGGTAGGACCTTTAACCTTTTTTTGAGTGATCGATTCCGCGGTTAATAGGCGCGCCGGAGATGGACTTTAACACGTAAGCCCGGTCGCGATAGATCACATTCGCGATGGCAGGCCCAGATTGCCGGTCACGCAATCCCGTTTATTCGCCACCTGAATAAAACGCGAGGCCATTCCATATAATTTCTTTCGCCCTGTTTTGCCGGCGCGGCGCATTTTTACGTGATCTTTATTAAGAGCCTCCCTTGTGCGATTATCACACGAGAGACCCCTTATCAGATTTTGTTCCTCGCGCTGGCAGGGGCTTATTTGTTTAATAGAATATCGGGTGGGTCGGTCTCGGGGTCAAGGATATAAAGTAGAGCAGCCCCGCGACGACACCGAGCTGCAAAGGGGTTGCTTTGCTTGCCCACCGTTGTCATAAAATCCGAGCCACTCGACCCTTGATTGATTTTTTATACTTTATATATAGGGCAATTCTTTCCGATAGATTTGAAATCTATTCACAAAGAGAGAGGCTCAAGCATTTTATATTATGTCATATCAGATTTGATATCTTATTAAGATCTCTTGCAGCTGAAAAAAAAAGAAGTGAAAAAAGCCAGTTTCTTCACTGTCAGCAATAATTGAAAAAAAAATTCATTTTCCTTCTTTTTAAATCGATACTTTTGTTTGCAGATGAAGAGAAAAATATTATGCACAAGAAATATTACGCAATTGATTATTTTAATCATCTGCCGAATATACACGTTAATGTGTTGTAAAAAAAAAACATAGTTTTTTTCAAACCTTTTAAATCTCCATATAAAAATTTAGAGCGTTGAAATGTGCAAATTAAATTTAAAAAGTAATTGTAATTAAAATAGCAAATCTTTCAATATCCAAGTCAATTAAATATTATTGTTGGTTTAAGATATTGAAATTCCGATTTAGTCTCTGGGCTTGACAATTTTAATGCTAATTTTATGAGGGTATAAATTTACTGTTGATTCTTCTCAAAAAGAAAATGGAAATTAAAATGCATGAATTATAAAATTATCTGAAAATTTAGGGAATACAACAAATTGAAGTTTTATAAGTTTGTGAGTTTCTTTGAAGTTGGCTCCAAAACCGCAATTGAAAATTAATTTATCATTTAATGAATGTTTTAAGAAAATGCAAGAATATGAATTTCTGTGTTTCATCGGAAAACATGCTGTCCAAAGCACATCAAACACACACTTTAAAATTTTAAAATTTCTAACTTAAAAGTGGTATAAGAGTTTGAACAACAAAAAAACACTATTTTCTCCTGATAAGAATTTTACGTCATTTTTTATTGTTGGTAATTTTCCCGAGTAAAATATATAATACACACTCTGCTGGCCAAATCACAAGGTCGAGCTTTTTTCCTTCGTGTATTCCATAATACGCACGCTATTAGCCTGCGCGTTTCTTGTACATTATAATTTTGGTCGCATTTGCAAGCCTAATTCATTATTGCTGGAATATAATAAAAGTCAAGGCCGCGGTGCGGGGATGTTATCAGTGCGAGAAATTATTTCACCCCTTGCTTTTCGTGGTCTATACATTTCAAGTCTTGCAAACCCTGTTTCACAAAGAAAGCCTAGGCTTCTCCAAACACATGAAAAATTCATGAGGCACTAGTATATTTACATTCAATTTTGTGCACGATTACGCACTCTTGGCAGGCACATGCGTGCCCTACCTAAATCTCTGCAAACGTATCAGCTGATATGGAAATTCGGAAGGAAAACTAATTTCAATCTACTTCAAAGGCAAAATGCAGTCTATTATACAGTGTTTGTCCTACTTTTTATAGAAATCCGGTCTTATTTAAAACATTTCTTAACAAATCTATATTTTTTTATACCAATTTAACAAAAAAACAGCACAAAAGTGCTGCTCGTATTTTGATTTTCTTGAAAATCTTCCAAAATTATATAAATTCAGAGTAATTTGAGCTGCCAATTCAATTGGAAATCATAATACTTAAAATGTGTGCGAAAGAGCGAACTAAAATTAAAATGGAATTAATTAATGTTAAAAGTTCAACAGTAAATGGACGGATCCTTTTCGTCGTAGTAACTTTGAGGATCATTGGTTTAAAAAATGTTGGAATGCTTCACCTAATTACACGATATCGGACCAAATTCCGAGAAGTTCAATTTTTTAAAAGCCTTTAGTATGGTCCTAGAGATTCTTGTTTTTCTACCATAGTAACTAGAGTGAATTACAAGTAGCCACCGTGGCTACTCTGAGAGGGGTACAAAGGCACGCCCATGTGGCCAATGTGGGCCCTCTGGGTTGGGTACATTTGCATCACTAGGCTGTTCGACTGCTCTCGGTTCTCGTACAGGTTTCGGGTGTCCTGAAATTAAAAATAGCATAAGTTTTTAATATAAAAATCATTTGTTGTGACAGTAAAAAATGTAATTTTAAAGAAATAAAAGAAAAATGTATATATTATGTAAAGAAAAATGAAATGAAAATAACCAGGATTTCAAATAGAAGAATGAATCACAAAAGATACAAATTATCTAACTCAGTGAAAAAGCAAGTTGCCTTTTTTTTATTAAATTTCAGAATTCTTATGTTGAATTTAAAATTAAGCCTTTGATTTTTTAAGTCTATAAAAATTAATAAACTATAAAATAATTTAACACAAATTTTGTTTTACAACGAAAAACAGATAGAAAATTATTTAAAATATCAGTTGCAAAAGATCTTACAATTAAAATCAATTCCGGTCGGAATGAATGAACCTGCACTTACAAAGTAAATAGCTGCTGCCGAAAAGAGGTGGAAGAACATGGAGCAGACGCAGAGGCCGTAGGACCAGGAAATGAAGTTGTACTGCGGGTACATCATCCAGTCCCTGCGATACGCCTCTCCTCCGAAAATGCAAACGGCCAAGAACAGGAAAAACCCTGCGGAATAATTTTTTTTTTTTTAATTTATCTTCTGCTTCAACAATGCAAAATTTTATTTTAATTTACCACTGGCCACTTGGCAAATGAAGCAGATTCCCGAAAGCAGCCATTCGTATTCAAGAACAAGACGCAGAGGGTAGCGACAGACAATTGCGGCAATCATGATTTGGGCGAACAGGGAGATGATCAACGCCAGGGTCACACAGGTCTGGACGACCATCAACCATCCTGAGAAAAAATTCATAAATTCAAAATCACTCTGCTTGGGAAAATTATATTCCCAATTTTATAACTTGTCTTATAAAGAAAATTCAAGGCTTTTAAATTTTAACTTTGCTGATATTTTTAAGTTTGCACCCTTTGACAAGCAAGATTTTAAAACGCAGGAATAAACTAGCTATTTTTCCAGTCTTTTCAGAACTGGTTTCCAAATAAGAATTCAAAACAACCGTCTTGATGAAAAAAAAATTAATGGTAAAAACAAAGAGATAAAATTTAAATTTAATAAATATACCCATTTTATAAACCTTGTCGTATGATATTGACGGGTTTATTTATGTAATTGAGAATTTGACATTATTGTTTTTAATCCTGCATAAATCAAGTCACAGTGAAGAAAGAACTCAAATAGATAAATGATTCGAAGTATGAAAAATTATGTATGTACTTCAATTTAGTTCTTTAAAATTTATAACTTTTTCCAGAATTATCTTCTTTCTACAGATTTTAATTATTTTTTTATTCTTCCATTTAATTTTCAAATATTTGTTCCTATTCGATTCATAATTATTTACCAGGCACAAGCCACTCTCTGATGAGGTAAAGCTCCTGACTGAAAATCCAGTTGCATCCGTCAAAGAGGTGGTCGAACTGGTAGTTGGGGAATCGGAATTGGTCGAAACAATATTCCCAGAGGCCCATGTTTTTGAACGAGCTGAACGTTTCATCGAAACTCTCGAGCCAGTACGGACTGCGAACGAAAAGACAAAAGGGTAAAAATTCATGCTCCGCTGGAGTAGAAACGAAGACGACTCATAATTTAAGTCAGAAAATAGATAATATTTCACCTGGCGAAAGCGATGAGCAGCAAAAGTCCGGCAAAGTAGGCCAACAGTCCGCCGTACACCATGGAATCTGCAATAATTTCGTACAAAGTGAAATCGAGCGTGTGTACGAATATGGACAGTGTGTGTAAACAAATCGACAAGTGTGTATTCGGGCGTTGGGTCGACGCCCTGCGATTCGGAAAGATTTCATACCTGAGGCCTTCGGGTACTCTTGCTTGTTGCTGCTCGCGTTGTCGCTCATTATGAGTGAGGAATTTGATCAGTTTTCGAGCGAAATCAAAATAATTCAAGCCGAAAGAAAGGTGGAAAAACGTATTTTTCCAGAGGAGCGCTTGTTGTCATCAAACGCCGAGCTGGGTAGGGCTGGTTTGGCGAATGCGCCGTTCGTGGCGCCACCGTCGACGGAGGGAAAAGAAAGACGAGCCGCCGTTCTGCCCCACGACGATAACTGTAGTTCATTAATTTTGTAGTGGAACGCACTTTAGGCTCGAGTGCATTATTATTATTTGGCTAAGTACGGTCGTCTATAAACTGTCAACCCTATCGTCCAGAGATGAGTTACGAAACGTCCGTAACGACCTCAAGTTACTACACTCAAAACATAAAACCCTAAAAATAAATTATATAATCATAAAAAGTTTTTTAATTAAAAATAATGTTGGGGAAAATTTGTAGTATTATGTTGGGATAAATATGATATAATTTTAATTATTTCGCAAAGTGACGCAAAGAAAAGTTTTAGTTAATAGTATATGAGTTTTGTAAATTTGCTACTTTGAGCAAGGAAATATGGATTTTATAAATTTAAAGCATTTTTATTCATTAATTATCAAATTTCATAATATTCTATATAAATTGAATAATTATTGATAAAATGAAAATGAGGTATTCTTTTTTTTAATTCTGACATGGAACTAATCAAGTTTTCAAAAAAATATCCTATTAAATATTTGTTACAATTATTTTTTAGTTTTTTATTTGGCGCATTCGTATTGATATTTTTTTTTAATTTTAAAGAGAAAATTTGGGTCTCAAGGTTGTATAGTAAATTAAATAAGCTGATTATTCGCAATTTAATACAAATTTCTCAATGTTTATTAGTAAAAAACATAATTATTGCTTTACATACACGTTGAACAATAGAATTATAAACTAAAATTTTCGTCAACAAATAAGTTGTGATTCAAAACGTCTCCCTTTTACTTAGTTTCTACAAACATTTCTTCTGAAAAATGGACGGTTTTTGTTTTCAATCTTCAAGTTTCTCCCTGGTTGCTCAAGGAATGATATATAATAAAAAATGTATTCACACTTTCACTGTTCAGTGAGTCACTGATGGACGGATGAGTAATTTTTACTGGTGGCGCATTTTCATGCCTTTTATCTAGCTTTAGCCAGCACACAAAAAATAACTTTTGTCTGCCTTTTCAAAGGTATCAGCAGCACACGAAAGCAGGTCATTTGCATGCCTGGAATGTGGTTCACCTTCGAAAATGTTTCCTGGACGGAATATAATTTAATTTTACAAAATGGAATGGTTTAACTAGCTTAATTTACTTACTTAAAATATCATGAGAAAATGAACACTGAGTTAACAAAGAAAATCAACCTAAGCTTATGGAATTTGAACTGAATCGTTTTGCAAAATAATGCTGAGGTTCAAAATTTTTGAAGAAAACTCAATAACTTTTGATTACCGAAACTGAGATGGAATAAACTTAAAGGGTCTAGAAACCTTCACAAATTTAACTGGTATAGTTAATTTTAAGATCTTGATGGACAAAGCTAACGTTTTAAGTAAATTTTTGACCAAAAATTAAAATTATTGATGTAAAAAAAAAAAACGTTAGACTTGACCCACAAAGAAAATTAAAATATCAACCACAATGAAAATTTGCTCTTCTGAAAGTTTCCATTCTCTTTAATACAGAGCTTATTTCTACTTTTGAAGATCGGTTGAGGACAAAGGCTGGTTTCCAATTCGCCATTACGTTATTCGTTTACGCATTACGTTGTTCGTTTTGCCAAGGAAATCGTATAAGCCGTTTCCAATTCACCAAAACGATACACGTAAACGGAATCCGAGTACAGCAAAACGTATAAGCGGTTTCCGATTCGCCAAAACGTACTCCGTAAACGTATTATGAGTGCCGACAGTGGTTTCCAATTCGCCAAAACGGACTCCGTAAACGTATTACGAGTGCCGACAGTGGTTTCCAATTCTCCAAAACGTAGTACGTTTACGTGCAACTCATTCCGAGCACCAAACGTGCTTCATACGTGATACGTACGTCGTTTTAATAAAAGTGCAACTTTTTGTTTCCGCTTCTGAATCATTATAATTGGTGCTTGTAATGAATTCTTAATTATCTCATCCATTTGAGTATAAAGTCCCTCAATTAGAGTTAATTTTCCACCAATTAAGTTAATTCGGTTATGGGGGTGAGCGGGGATGAGTTGAAGGAAATTAGTTTTATGTCAAGTGCGTAACATGATTATAGGCTAAAATTTTGTGAGGAAATCAATGGTGTATTTGATTTTAATGAAAAATGTTAATTTCAACCCTTAATTAGCAATTAACTCAAATAAAAACAAATTGAAGTGCAATACATGACTTTAGGGTAAAATTTGAAGCCCAAGCGATTGCCAGCATCAATTTTGCGCTATCAATTTAATTTCATCCCCTAAATTGAAAAATAATGATGTTCACACAAATTTTAGAGCGAGACATGTTTAAATGGTAAAATTTGACGCCAAATCGTTTGCCAGAAGTTATTTTGCTCTAGAAAAATAATTTCAACCCCTAATTTTAAAATTTCACGAAATTAACAACAATTTCAGAGCGAGATATGTTTAAGTGGTAAAATTTGACGCCAAATCGTTTACCAGAAGTTATTTTGCTCTAGAAAAATAATTTCAACCCCTAATTTGAAATTATATGAAATTAACAACAACTTAAGAGCGAGACTTGTTGATATGAGTTGAATTTAGCGAATTTATGGCCACATTGATTGCCATACTTAACTAAAAAAAAAAATTAAACAATAGTTAATAAATAAGGAAATCAGGGGTTGAAACTAAAATTAAGCAAATTAAGTGCAAAATAACATTTGAAAATCGATCTAGCATTAAAATTACATACATAAAGCAACTGTCGCTCTTAAATTGTTGTTAATTCCATAAAATTACGAATTAGGGGTTGAAATTATTTTTTAGAGCAAAATACCTTCTCGCGAACGATATGGCGTCAAATTTTACCACTTAAACATATCTCGCTCAGAAATTGTTGTTAATTTTGATTAATTTCAAATTAGGGGTTGAAATTAAATTTTTAGAGCAAAATAACTTCTGGCAAACGATCTGGCGTCAAATTTTACCAGTTAAACATATCTCGCTCTTAAATTGTTGTTAATTTCGTGAAATTTCAAATTAGGGGTTGAAATTATTTTTCTAGAGCAAAATAACTTCTGGTAAACGATCTGGCGTCAAATTTTACCACTTAAACATATCTCGCTCTGAAATTGTTGTTAATTTCGTGAAATTTCAAATTAGGGGTTGAAATTATTTTTCTAGAGCAAAATAACTTCTGGCAAACGATTTGGCGTCAAATTTTACCATTTAAACATGTCTCGCTCTAAAATTTGTGTGAACATCATTATTTTTCAATTTAGGGGATGAAATTAAATTGATAGCGCAAAATTGATGCTGGCAATCGCTTGGGCTTCAAATTTTACCCTAATGTCATGTATTGCACTTCAATTTGTTTTTATTTGAGTTAATTGCTAATTAAGGGTTGAAATTAACATTTTTCATTAAAATCAAATACACCATTGATTTCCTCACAAAATTTTAGCCTATAATCATGTTACGCACTTGACATAAAACTAATTTCCTTCAACTCATCCCCGCTCACCCCCATAACCGAATTAACTTAATTGGTGGAAAATTAACTCTAATTGAGGGACTTTATACTCAAATGGATGAGATAATTAAGAATTCATTACAAGCACCAATTATAATGATTCAGAAGCGGAAACAAAAAGTTGCACTTTTATTAAAACGACGTACGTATCACGTATGAAGCACGTTTGGTGCTCGGAATGAGTTGCACGTAAACGTACTACGTTTTGGAGAATTGGAAACCACTGTCGGCACTCGTAATACGTTTACGGAGTCCGTTTTGGCGAATTGGAAACCACTGTCGGCACTCATAATACGTTTACGGAGTACGTTTTGGCGAATCGGAAACCGCTTATACGTTTTGCTGTACTCGGATTCCGTTTACGTGTATCGTTTTGGTGAATTGGAAACGGCTTATACGATTTCCTTGGCAAAACGAACAACGTAATGCGTAAACGAATAACGTAATGGCGAATTGGAAACCAGCCAAAGTGGAGATTTGTCGGACGGGTGCGTTAACATTGTGCGTATTCACTGCAGGTTTGCCGAAATCAGTCGCTAATTCAGGATCATGGCCACTTCTCCTACGCCTTGGTCTCCTCTATGCTGAACCTGGCCTGCGAGTCCCTCAGGTCGCGCGCCTTCCTCTTCTGGATGCTCGTCTCGATCAGGAACAAAGTTCCGGCCACGATCGAAGCGAAAACTCCGGCCACGGCCAGTGCGAATGACCAGCCGAAGAAGTTGTTGCGCTGACCTGGCATCCAGCCCTGTCTGTTTGCCAAACTTGCAAAGACCACCACTGCTATCGCTGCACTAAAGCCTGGAGAAAAGAGAAAAAAATTCTTAATTTTAAAACAAAATTAATTCATTTAATAAAAATTTAATCTCATATTTTAATTCAACATAAATAAAAATTAAAAAAGATCTTAAGGTCTTGTGTATTGAATTTATTTGTTAAAACTTAAAACTCTTGCAATATGCTATGAAATTAAAAGCAAGTTCCAAAATTTCAAAGTTAAAAAAAAATAATAAGTTCCTTAAAAAACAGAAATAAAAATTTGGTGCTCTAAACAGGCTGAACAGTAAATTCACTGGCTGTTGTCACACTGCCTAAAAATTACACAATTCAGATATTTTCACCGCTAGCTTGTATTATTTAAATGACAAAAATATTTTTGGACACAATTTTTGCTCACAGGCAGTATAATTATTCGTGATTTTCAGCAAGTTTCTTAAAAAGTCCAGAAGAAAAATAAATTCAGTCTTTGACAATAAAAGAAATTCCTTTTACGTCCATATTTTTTAACTTTACTTTTTGTATGCCATAAAATTAAACCGGTCTGGAAAATTAATTTTGATTATTTTGAATTGTAATTTAATTCCATTTTGTTTGATAAAATAAAATATCCAATAAATTACCTTATAATTTATGAATAATATTAAAAAAAAGCTCACCAGCTGCTAAAAGGTCCAGTCCAATAATTGCAATCAGTTTCACATATCTTGATTGGTCAGGTCCACAACACAGCCCATACAAGAGGCAGAGGCCAAATGCGACGAGTGTTAAAATAAATGCCACCGTGTAGAAAAACTGCGTCGCGATTATGAAAGCTGAAATTTTTTTATTTTTTAATTTTTTTTATTTTCTAATTTTGTTTCAAACTTACGAGGAAGAAGGAATCCCCTGATCTTGTCGTAGCCGGTGGTGAAGGGGTCGTAAATCCACCTGCAGCCGACGAAGAAGCGTCTTTGGTACTCGTCGGTGGGGTCAGGCAGCGACCTGAAGCAGTGGGCCCACAGACCGAACCTCTCAAGTCGCGCCCCTGTAATTCGGTAGTCGCTGACGATCCAACTGGGTGAGCAAAAGGCCACGAACACGCACACGAACGTCAGGGCAAAAACCGCCAAGGCGCAGTTTCCCGCGAGGCTTCTCTTTTTAGCCATCGCTGCCTGCAATCAATTCATTTAAATTTTCAATACAGAGAGATAATTTAAGTAATGGTAATTAAAAAGCGAGCTAAAAGTAAAATTAGGCAAGTTGAGCACACCAAAACAGCAGCAGGAAGACGAAGAAAAATTATGGAGTTTTATTGAGAAAAAAAAATAAAAATGAATAATTAAAATAGAGCAAGCTTTAGAGCGTTTAACCAAATCTGCTAGATGTTTCCCCCACTTTAAATATTTATAAACTACTTCTAAGGAAAATAAATATTAGTACTAAAAGCAAGTAAAATTAAATAAATAAAAAACTTATCCTATATGATCTGTTGTGATCAAATTAAACTCGAAATCAATCAATTTTTTGTAGATCTTTCAAAATCTTTACAAAATAATGAATTTAAAACCGTAAAAGCTTTAATGAAATGACTTTAAATATATGGTGATTTGAATTTAAAACCCATCGAGGAAAAGCCAAATTTTAAATTCAAATCACCATGAATCAACCCTTGATCGTGAACTTCTACTACAAAAAAAAAAGACTTTAAATAGTTGAAGCTTCAAATTTTTTACAGAATTTACCTTATAATTTTACAGACAAAGTAAAACAAAGGTTGTTTAAATTATGTATTCAGAAAACATTTCATTTTTAATCAATAAAACTGAATTTTAAAAATAAATTTACAAACTATATCATTATTTTTTTAATTTATAATTTCATTATTTTTTTACTTTTATTTACCAAGACTAATTTTAATGTTAATTATATAATAATAATATTTTTTTATCTTTAAATTTTATGGTGATTTGCTTATAAAGTCGGAATTGAAATTTTAATCTATTTTGGTTAAAATTTTACTATAAAATTTTTAAATGCTGCCTCCTCCAATTATTACTTAATTAATATTCAATAGAAATAATAATTAGTCCTCGTCAGTTGACAGTTGGCGATGAATTGCAATAATCTTATGTGATTCATAAATAGTTATTTGAAATGCAATTAAATTTATAAAATTTCCTTTGGCCAATGTTTCTCAATATGGAGTATGCTTATCACTAAATCAGAAAAGCAAAGCCTTGGTATTATTAATATTACAAACCGAGCAACCATTTAAGCTCTTTAAAAAAATGAAGCGTTCTCTCGGCACCAAAAATCCCAAATTGTCCCAGACGAAAAGGCCAAATTGGCTCTCAAACCTGTTGGAGGGCCCTGAGAGCCGCGCCTCGCTACAGCCCTGCTTTTTTCTAAAATACGCAACACGACGAGCTCACTGAAACAAAGCGCGACACAGACTGCTGCTTTTACATACGATTTTTCTCTTGGTCGGGAGCGTCAAATTTCGGGCCATGGTATTAATTGCCAGGGTGTCAAAGGGCTCGGATTGTTCCGCTCGACAAACAAACGCACACTGCGAGGTGCCAATTGAAAACTCACCTTCGCGGGTGGTGCTCGGTAGGTCTTCACCTGTCTCTCCACTTTTGCTGATTGTGCTTCCCCTTATCCAAGCGGAAAAGCTGCACCGCTACTTTTCCTTCCGATGTGGGGCAATTTTGATAAGCACTGTTTTTTCTTTCTCAAATTCGAGAGTGGCTGGCAGGTGCACGCCCTGTCGCTGTGTTTGGCTTTGCCTGAGTCACGACGTGCAGCGCCTCAGTGGAACATTCCGCAGTTAATGTTAATTAAGTAGAGGCGGTGGGTAGGCCTACGCGGTCGGTTAAGCGAAGCTCAGGTGCGAAAAGGTTACCTCTCTTTTTTACCTACCGAGACTCGCATGTGCCGCGCTTGCTAATTTTGCAGAAACCGCTGGTGGGAATTCGTTTTTCCCACAAAGATTGGTAAAATGATGTGAAGTCCCCGCGCAATTGTCTTTAACTGAGGCAATCCTGACATTTAATATGGGTCACTAAGTATAAGGCTCCGTCAGAATTAATTAAATTATTATCAACAGAGACAATATTCTTTGAGAAGTAACACAAAAACCAGATTAAGCACACACAAAAAATTAAAATTTTAAAGAATAAAATAACAGATTTAGTTAAAGTTTTCAATTATTTTATTTACCAAAATCAACTTTCTCGCAACAAATACAAATATTGGGTGCAGATCAAAAACTTGATAATAGTATTTGAGTAAATCCTATTCTATAGAGAATAATTTCTTTACAATTAAGTTGATATTTCATTTAAAGATGAGAGGACGGATTAATCGATTTCAGTTCTTATAGCATATAATTTTTAATTGCATTTTTCTGTGTATCTCTTCAACTGTTCATTTTTTTCTATTTTCTACTTTTTAAGCCCAGACAAATGGCAGCATTGTGTGAGACAAGGCAAAAATTTTTTCCTTGAAATATCATTAGGCACTTTCACTGAGCTACATTTTTTTACTCTAAATCAGATCTTCACTCCGAAGCTAAAATATGCTAATGTTAAACTAACCAATGTCAGAACAAAATATCAAGAAAGTTTTCAAATTGTGCACTTCACATTAAAAAAAAATGCTCTCCATTACAATGGCGTGGGACGTTTTGCCAGCCAGTCTCTGAAAAAGTAAAACCAACAATGGACGGATTTTAGGTCACAGAGTAGCCGCTTAAATAACAATGCGCACACTTGATACAATTATCATGCAAGTGTTGCATCTCCCAGCCTTAACCTTAGGTGAGAAAAAAAGTGGGTAAACATACAATTATGCTGCTTTCTGCAAAAATAATGTACAAAATTAAGCTGCTTGTGATATAACCGTCGAAATGGAAGGTCAATTCAGACGTTTCATAAGTTAAATATAAATTGAGATTCAACTAGTCGAAATATCCAAAAAATTATTATAGAGATTACAAATCGTCAAATCCTAACTGGTCGGAGTACATATTTTTATATACAAAAGATTGGAATGCGATTATTTTTTTCGAGATGAAAATCTTATCCCAGGCCATAAGCAGCCCTCCTTTGCCTTTCGCGCCTGTTCTTAGCCCTGTAAACTCGAGCCTCTGCGTAAATCTGGGCAGTGGCGATCCACATGAGCAGGACACTGACTACGGCCAGTGCGTAGGACCAGCCGATGTAATTGTGCTCCCAGTGGGGCATCCAGTATCTGCTGTCGCCGTAAGCTCCGAAAATCACCACTGCGATTGTGCCGCAAAAAGCTGAAAATGTTAACCAAATTTAAGAAAAGTTAAAACCAAATCCAAAGTTCTTAAACCTGAAAAACCAGAGCATCCGGAAACGACGTAGAGTAGGGTGGCCATGTGAGGGTCATCTTCGTCGGTGAAGATGTATCTTGCCAGGAACAACAGACAGATCAGTAGGAATGTGAGGCAGAAGGTGAAGAAAGTTTGGGTAGCCACGAAGAAACCTGTAAAATAACAAGAAGAAAATAGTTGAAATTTCTACATTGCAACATTGAATTCATGTTTATAGCAAAGTGGGGGGGAAATATTTTTTACATATATATAAAAGGCAAAAGTGAACTTTAAATTAAAAAAATTTTAATTTTTTTAATTAAAGGAAATAAGAAACATTGTTAATGCAGATGATAATAATAAATGCATTCAAGATTTTAAATAGCCATATTATTTTATAATAATACTTAAACCTGATAAAATAAATTAGTTTTTATAATTTATGACTTAATTTATAATTTCTAACATTTTATTTTTTATTAATATTGTAGTATTATTTTTATTTCACTATAAAGAAAATATAAAATGTGCAATTCATTTAATTTTAAAAGAAGAGTGAATAAAATTATATATTTCCCCAGTTCACAAATATCACTATAGTAATGTGATGATAACATGAATTGTAAAGTCTCAGTGCTGGAGATATTCATTTATAACTCAAATATTTTGAACTGCTAAGTTACTATAGAAAGAAGTAAGAAACTATTAAGTGGCAAGAGTATTAAAATATTAAAAATTAAAAAAAAATACATTCAAATTATTAGCTTCGGTTTAAAACTGTGTAATTGAGATTATTTATTTAAATAATAATTAAAATCTTATTCTATCAACTTATTCTCTACTTTTTTCGTAAATAATTTTAAGATTTTGCAAGTTAGTCAACTTAAAATTAACTTTGGAGAAAAAGTTGATCTCTTGACATACCAGGTAGCAAAAAGTCATGGATGATGTAGTATTCCTCCTCGAAGACCCACCAGCAGCCGGTGAACTTGGTGTCGTACCAGTGGTGCGGCTCCTCGAAGTTCTTGAAGCACACCTGCCAGAGCCCTGCACAGCCCAAAATAAAATCAAATTTGGCCGAAAAAACCACCTGTTTGGGGGCTGTTGGGGGCCACGCCTAGGCGCTCAAACATACCGATACGTTGGAAGGTGGCGTCCGGAAGTTGGCCGTCGTTTTCCAGCCAGCACGGCGTCGAGAAGGCGATGATGACGAGCAGGAAGCACACCAGCAGCAGGCAGCTCGCGATCAGCATGTTTTTCTCGCGGTAGCCCATTTTCGGGGGCCGTTTTGGGCTTCGGATGTAGGAGGACCACTGCTTTCCGCTGGAATTTGTTTGGCTCGCTGCTTTCGGAGCTTCGGAACAGGTGGCGCACAACGGCAGTGCTGCGATGCGGGTTGCGTCGACCAGCGCACAGGCGCTCACTATAAAAGCCCACCACTATGATAAAAATGATAAAATAAGGAAAACTAGAAAATCTTCTATTCATAATGGCAGTAAAAATTAAAAATTAACTTTAAATTGTTTTAACATATTTTATATATTTTATTAAATAAATAAAAATAGTTAACGTTATTTAAACTAATTCACTTTTTATTTAATAAATTTAATTATTTCATATATATTACTTTTTAAATATTATATAACTATATTATTTAAAACCTTCTGGATTGATCATATTTTTGTGTGATTATAGTTTGTTATTTTTAGATCTTAAAGATTTCAATAATTTTCTCGAATTATACAAAATTAATTTAATGGATCTTCCCATGTTTTGGCACCTTTAGATCAAGTATTTATGCAAAATCTGAGAGTTGTGAGTAAATGTGTAAAATATTATAATTTTCTATTGTTTCTACTTGATAAGACTATTGACTATTCTAGATTATTAGACTATTCAAGGAATAAACTTTTCTACTTTTCCTTTTTATACTATTGCAGTTGCTGTTTAAAAATATTATTAAATAATTAATCTGTTACTTACAAAAATGAAAAAAAAGAGTAGAAAATGTGTCACAATCTCTTAAACTATGAAGAAATAAAAAAGAACGTTTTAAAAAGAAAAAATTTGAGGAGCTCAAAACCTTTTTTTAATTTATTAAAAAAAATCTAAAATAGTAATGAATTTTGGCTTTTTAGTCACTTATATCTTATAATGCTTTAAAAACTCATTGTCAGTGTATCCAAGATTGAAGTAAAAAAAATGCACAAGTAAAAATTTGTTTCATATTAGATGGCTCCCACCTTTCATAGATTTTAAAGATAAAATTAAAAATTTACTGGAGTTTATAATATGTCAATTAAAAGTTTTTATGAGTTTTTTCTGCACGCTTTTTCCGGCGGAAAACAAGTAATTGAACTAAATTTGTTTAATTATAACTTTTTTGAAACCATTCGGTGAAACATAGACAGAAAAAGGACAATTTTGAGGTGATCATCTTAATTAAGTTTTGCACCCCACTTTATCCACGCCTACACTGGCCTGCACGATAAATTGATTTCGCCTTCTTGGAATGAAAACTCGATCGCCAAATAAAACACCTGCCTGCATTCGCCAAAATTGAATTGGGTTTCCAGAAGTCTCCGCGCCGCGTGTGTATTTCTTTCCCTTTTTCTTTATACATCAAAAGTTTTAATCGTAGCCATGGCGATCAGTCAACAAAGTGTGCGCCTCTGTGGTGCGCCCGTCATTGCGGCCCCCGCACATTCAAATTGAATTCTTTGATCAGTTGGTCCTCGACCGAGGCAAGGAGCCATGGACGACCGCACGGTGGACAGGATTTTTGCGGGCTCGCTCGAGCACCGCCTGCCACCCGTCAGCTCCAAGATTGTGCGCATCTTCACCAGTTCCACTTTCACAGGTGCATTTCCTCGAATTTTATTACCTTGTTTGCACATTGGAAGGGTTCAAACGTAATTTAGATCAAACTTTTCAAGGGGAAACTAAACTGCCATGTGTGTTGAAGTCATGAAAGTGGAAATGTTAATTTATGTTCTTTGAATCTCCTTCTTAAATTAGCAGATTTGCTTTAAGAAAGATAAATTTTTGGAATATATAAATAATAAATTATGATTTAAAATCACTTTAAAACCTTTTAAATACAAATTTATTTTTTACTTCTACTAGTTTTTTTTTTAATTTTGTTTTAATCTAAACCAACTCTTTAAACCATAGATTTTCTTATAAGAATTTTTATTCAAAAGATTTATATTTAATTTTAATTGTGTAGCTCCGTTACTTTGGAAATGCAGAACTGTAACAAACTATACTAGTTTAAACACAAATATAAAGCTTTTGATATTTTCAATTAATTTCCTGTAAACCCTAAATTACTGACAGACACTGGAATGGAGAGGAACACTCTGATGGCGCAAGTGTATCCAAAGCTAAAAGATTACTGCAGAGAAAAGCACGGGCTAGAATTTCAGGTTGTTCTAATCTTCGCATAATTGGACCAAAATAATTACGTTGACGGTGTGTTGGCAAATGTAATTAACAAAAAGGTGGTGGACATGCGATGGGGCGTGCGAGACGAAGCCACTGACGACCACATGACAACCGAGCTGTGCATGAGGGAGATCAGCAATTGCCAGCGTCTCTCAATGGGGCCCAACTTTGTGGTATGTCATTAATCTCCACAACAAGTGAAAAACGGCATGATAAGAAAAGTTATATTGCACAATAATATTTTCCATATTTAACAAATAATAAGACTCAATCTGAAATATATTGTCATATGTAATAAAAATTTAATTAAACAATTTGAACTATTTGAAATGATAAAATTAATTGTTCAATTTAATATTAAAAATACAATTTTTTTCCGGGTTTTTTATTTAGTGTGAAAGTATAAAGGGCACAGGCCGACAAGACACTTTGTCTTGGCCTGACCCAAAAAATAAAAAATAAAATAAAATAAACAGTATAGGCAAATATGAAAAAATGGGAAATTAAAGTTTTAAAAAAATATAATTTTGTAAAATAAATGTAAATTAAATAAATCAAAATAATTAATCTACACATTAATTGTGGTATTCAAATAAAATTATTTGAGCTTAAACTACATATTCCCTCTTAATTCTATAATATTGAGTCGTAAAGCATTTTTAATTTAATATTATTTATATGTAAATTAAAGTACAAAATACTAAAAATATAACTTAAATGCTAAAAAACAGCATTATGAAAAGTGAAATTTTCTTAACTCGCTGAAGATACTCATGAATCAGATGATTTTATTATCTGTCAAATTCTGGTCAGAGTTTCAACTGCTCGTTGCGTGCAATTACCTCTTTTTAATAAATAAACACGCCATTAACCAAGTGACATCTTTCGCGTGCATCCGAATTTCACATGTGAGCTATTGCTGCCGTGTACGTATATTTATTTTTGTATGGATTTGGAATGCAAATACGCCAGGAAGGGGTTCGCATACACACACGATAGAATACTTAATAAAAAAGGGCCACGACACCGCTGCGCAATATTTATAGGATTTAGTTTCGCCTGCAGTGCCTGGCACCAAAGTTTTCAATGCCGCCGCCGCCGCCACTCTAAAAGTCGCAGCCTCTTTTTTCCTCCCTTACTTTGAAACCTCTCTTTATTAGAGTAAAGTGACGCATGTAGTAATAGAAACACGTGATTTTAACACCGGTTGCTATTTCTGGAGCTTTCATTTGCATTTAGATAAAATACTCTCTGTAATCGACAGCTGAGCACTGCTCTTTGCAAAAGAATGATTAACATGCAAAGCGATTTATTTGCGATTTATCTTTTCAAACTAGTTGTGTTATTACACTGCGTTCACTGGAGAATTAGCACAGTTGGTGTGCTTATGCAAATGGCGTGCAGTTAATTAGGGTTGTGCTCTACTTACGAGCCAAATTACAATTATTATATTTGTAAACTTTGGTATAATTAACTGTGCTCTTAATCTGTTAAGTTTAAACTTTTAAAATTATTTCTCATGGAGCTCTGAAATTTGATTAAATTAAAAAAAAAAAATTAACAACAAATAAATACTAATAATCAGGGGGTTGCTTAATACACACGCATTTTAATTAACTTAAACACGCTTTATAATATAAATGTTGGTTTTAAAGGCATAAATTTTAGTATAGCTATAACATTTCTGAAAAGATTAATTAATTTTTATAATTAATATTATTTTTAAAGATTTTTACGTTTAACAGATTTGGAAATTTATATTAATCAAGTTTCTTAAATGAGCAAAAAAAATTTAGCAACGCCATTGTTAAAAACGAGTTAAGCAGCCTATTATGTTCGAAGATAACAGCATAAAAATTATCAAATTTGGGCAAAATTTAGAACTAGCTTTGATGATGCACTTAAAACGTAAAGTGATTTATATTGTTTGCAACTAGAGTTTAACACTAAAAGAATTTAAAACAAAAATTTATTTATTACAAAAAACAATTTAAAAATTTTAGTGATTCATGAATGGAAATTAAAAATTAAATCAAAATAAATAGTTATTAAAAAGTAAATTTTGTTTTATTAAAATTCTACTTGACTTATGATTTATGATACTAAAAAATAGAACTAATTATTATATCCAAAAATCAAGTGCTTTCTGGGCCAAAAGTACGGATACAGGCCAATTCCAACGTACATCGTTTCGGCGGAATTGCAACTGCTGCGGGACGAATTGACTGCCTTGAATGTTGACGGCAGCACTCTTGACCTCTGGTACAAAAAGGACAGCAACGCCGTGCCGCCCGTTTCGGTGCTGCAGCCGATTTCCTCAATCCTCGTCAATTTCAACAATAAGGTCAGACTCGATCGATCAATGTATTTATTTCTCCTCATTCGCAAATTACTATCGTAGCGAGTTCCGAAGCTGCAGCAGCAAGACCAGGCCATTTGGTGGGACACGATGGTCCGAATGCAAAAGCTGCTGCGCAAAGCGTCGCAGTCGCTGTTCAACGGCGGCAAAATCGACAAAGACACCATGCACAACTATTTCATGTCAGGTATAATAACGACGGCATCAAAATTTAACTCGTGACGTCAGCAGACTAAAGCAGCGCAATTTATACCCGGCGGGCTTTGTTTAATGCTTGAATCTAAATCGGCCGAATTTGTCTTTTGCAGTGACAGAGCGAGAAATTATTAACGGCATTCTAAATGTGAAAAACACCAAGAATCACTGTCTCGGTTACGTCAGGTACATCAACAACATCAATCTGCAAAACCTGAAAAAAGCCTCACTTTTTATCGACATTCTGAACCGGAGTCTCGACACGGAAGCTTGCAAACTGATGGCGGACCTCAGGGACGTTCGCCTGCCAAACAAAATTGAGGCCACTAATTTGCAAAGGTTGAATTTGAATTTGGCAATATAAATCATTAGCTAAACAATTAATTGAAAATTTGTTGTTGATTCAATTTTTTCGTTGATATTGAAAAAGAATACTCAATTTAAATTATCAAAATTCATTTAGAATATTTAATTAAAATCTTCGGCCCTTTAATTAATTATTTCAAATTTTTGTTGATCGGGTGAAAATATTTTTTTTTTTAAATTTAGTAAAAAGAAAATTGAAAAAGAATCCAAAAAAATAAATTAAAGGTACACAATTGAATGGATCGGGCGAGAGGGTCTGGATCCCGACACGCACTCCGAGTACCTGCAGCACTTCATCACGCACTTCTACAAAAACATGGTGAAGCTAATAGACCGCGCCATGCGGAAAGAGGACTCGAGCGCCCAGGGGCAGATCGTGACGGAAATCTTGCAGCACATGAACGCGTGCAACAACTGCGTCGAGGTTTTACACTCTTTTTTCCATTATTATAATTGGCAAGGATTCGCAATTAAAAAGCATCTCCCGTCTCTGTGCTAAAGGTGTTTTACGGTCGGGAGGACACCCTTGAGCGGATCAGGGCGCACCAGCAGGACCCCGAGGCCAAAAAACCACTGGTCCTGTACGGCGAGGGCGGCTGCGGCAAAACCTCAATGCTCTCAAAGGCGGCCTCCATGTCGCCAAAGTGGTTTCCCGGCTCTAAGCCGATTTGCATAATTAGGTTTCTTGGCACCACGCCTGACTCAAGCAGTCTCCAGCCGACCCTCGTGTCAATTTGTCAACAGGTAAAGTGACCAAAAGGTGTTTTTTGTAAACAGATCACATTTTCGTTAATATTTAAAATTACAATAGAGAAGCTTTTTCCGACTCTTTCACCAATTTAAATTTTAATTATTTAGAAATAGCTACACACATGATTTTGTAAATTTATCTATTTGATTTTTAAAAAATCCCTTCCATATTAATAAGAAAAAGTGCTGTTCAAATCTTAAAAGTGATTTTGAGCATTAAAGGCTGTGTCTACTAACAACATTATGATGCATTAAGAAGATTACATTCATTTATATAACTTTTAAAAGTCTATTTTTGATTTGGAGATCTAAAAATGTGCAATTTCTGATAAAGCTTGTTGTTGCTCATGCAGATATTAAAGGGCCAAATATTCGTGACTTAACTAAATACTGACAAAAATTAAAACCTAAATTGAAAATGATTTAATCATGTTTAAATGACAACATTGTTAAATACTCATCAGATCAAGGAATTATTAATTTATTTTTCCCAAATTTAATGGGAATTTTGCTAATTTACGGCACAACATTTTGTAGAGTTATATTTTAAAAGCAATTTTCCATCTTTATTTTTATTAAAATAAAAAATATATGAAATTTAATTTAAATTTAATTTGTAAAAAAGCCAGTAAAATTTGAATTTTAATGAAAAGAAATAAAAAATTAAATTTTTTAACAATACTAAAACTTTTTAATTTTAAAGGTTAACAAGCCAAAATATTAATTTATTTGAATAAATATTTTATTTTTAGATGTATATTCTATCAATTAAGTTTGCACAAAGTTGTCTTTTAGATACGATTATAATGATTACGTCTTGTAAATCTTTATATATTTTATTTAAATTAAGATATTTTTCACTTCAATTCAGGTTTCTTACAACTACATGTTGCCCTTTGAAGACATTCCCGACGACTTAGTGCCCCTGACCGCCTACTTCAAGTATCTTTTGACAATTGCCACGAAGGAAATGCCGCTGCTTCTTTTCCTCGACTCGATCGACCAGATGACGGGCGCGCAGGGTGCAAATAAAGTTTCCTGGCTGCCGACGAAAATCCCGCCCTACTGCAAAGTACACATAAACGAGTTAATCAAACGCCCGCGCATTTCTCGCTCTCTCTCTTCGGCAGATTATCTTGACGTGCGCCGCAGAGGCAGACAACCCAGAAATTTCCAGGGACTACCACCTGTTGAGGCGGATGATTGATGCCGATGAGAATTTTATTGAGATAACCGATTTAGGCGAAGATTTGGCCATGCAAGTTATAAGGTGGGGCGCAATAATTCCAACGGGAAAAATTTATTAAATAATATATATTCAAGAATGTGGATGCAAAAAGCGTGCAGGGACTTGACAAATTACCAGTGGCGTTTGGTGGCTAATGCCATTTCCAAATGCTCCCTCCCCATTTTCGTCAAATTGGTTTTCGCCGAGATTTGCCGATGGAGGAGCTACACTCGACCGCAGGAAACTTATTTGGCGTCGACAATCATGGATTCGATTATGATGCTTTTTGAGAGAATTGAAAAACAGGTCTTTATTTGAGAGGAAAAAATTCAAATTTAATTTTTATGAAATTTTTTATAGCGAAATTGCACTTTTTAAAGGTTCCGGGTTCCGGGCACTATTTAAAAATTACATATCTGATGGTTTTTTTTTCCAAAGTTTCTCATTGAAGTAATTTTTATTTAATTCTTTACCTTTTTCCGAAAATCATTTAAAAAAAATTTAGACTTAAAAAAGACTGATAAAGATAAAAAATTTTGATTTTAATAATTTTGTTTAGCATGGGAGGTTGTTGGTTTTCCACGCCTTGGCGTACATCACTGCGGCCAAGAGCGGTCTGTCCGAGTCCGAGTTGGAGGACTTGATTTCCCTGGACGACAAAGTCCTGGACGACGTCTATCAATACCACTTACCGCCTACCAGGAGGATCCCGCCTCTCTTGTGGACGAGGATCAGAAACGATTTGCCCAATTATTTGTCGGAACGTGAGGCTGACGGCGTCAGTGTGATGAATTGGTATCACAGGTGCGCTTATTTCGAGAGCAAAGTGAAAGCTTCTGCAAGTTTGCACGTGTTTGCTAATTGTTTGTTCTTAATTGGGTTTTTGACTCGTTACAGTTATTTTAAAAATTATTTTAGTTATCTCTTTTAATTAAAGTATATTGACTTAATTTTTTTGATTTCATTGAGAAAATGACTCAAATAATATAAAATTACAGACAGTTCCGAGATGCAGCACGAGAGCGATATTTCAAAAATAAGAATTTGTCAAATTATTTCCACTCGTCCATCGCCGACTATTTTCTCGGAATTTGGGGAGGAGGCGTTCCAAAGCCATTCAAATTTACAGAAATTCAGAGACATAGATTCAATTTGGCTTCAAAGGACAGTGCGGCTGATCGAAAAGTTCCGACACAGCCGTTAGTTTACTACAACAAAGAGGGAAAAGTCTCAAGATACAATTTAAGAAAAGTATAAATTTAATTTATTTTTTAATTCTAAGCTAATTTTGCATGAAAAGTTCGGTGAGATGCCGTTCCATTTAGTGCGGTGTCAGCGGTTCGACGACCTTTACGAACACGCCCTTTTCAACTATCAGTGGCTGCACGCGAAATTGTCCTCATGTCCTTTGCAGGCCGTCCTCTCTGACTTTGAAGACACGTGTTTGCATTTAACAAACAAAGAAACTATAAGGTGATTATTTTTAATAAAAAATTTGCAAAAAAAAATTAAAAATTTGAAACAGAGAATTGACATTGGTGGCGGACGCGTTGAGACTGGGTGGTGCGATTTTGGGCGTTTATCCCGACATGTTGGCCTCTCAGTTGGTCGGCCGACTTTTGCCTGAAATCGGCACAAATCCCAACGTTAAAAGGCTTCTGCAGCAATGTGATAAGGAAGGGCCGCACCACTCAGCCCTCATTCCGATGCATCATTGCTTGCACACACCCGGAGGTCCTCTCAAGGTGAGAAATTCTGAATTAAATTTATCAAATTTCCCTCTAATAAATATAAAAAAGTTAAAAATTAACAAAGCATTGTTGGTCCACTAATCAATCTGTTTCCATAAAGAGAAAAAAACGAGAAAAATGTGAGACAAACAATTTCCTGGAAAAAAGACAGTTATTATTAAAATTCTTTAATTTGAAAACGAAATTTGTGATTTACATTTGATACTCAATTTTAAATTATTTACAAGGAAAAATCAACTCTCAAAACGTTTCTCCTTTGTGAATTTGTCTGGCGGTGCAAATTCTGAACCAAACTTGTTCAAACATCAGCTTAAGCTAACATTAGTCCCAATTGTCCCAAATTAAAAGCGAGAATAATTTATGAAAATAACGCCCCGAATTTTGCGGCGCAGTATTCGCTGGAGGGCCACCAGTTCGCCGTGTTTGGTTTCAAACTCACCGCCGACTACCGCTACATTGTTTCCGTCTCAAACAAGTTCCTCACGTGGGACTTGGCCACCAGCGATTTGACCCGCGAGGTCAACCCGGACATCGAGGGCATCATGCAAAATTTGGTGCTCAGTCCGGACAACAGATACGCCGCTGCCTACACAAACAACAACAAAGTGTGTTGCGAGTTGAAATTGTGCGCGAATTTACTTTGGATTTTGGTTATTCTCTCAGGTCGTTTTGCTCAACATGCTGAGCAGCGAGTTCGTGATTTTGGCGTCGCCGTTGGAAAACGACGAGGAGATTCACGGCGTTTTCCTTCTGAATGCACACCTGCTCGTGCATGGAAACCGAACGTGGGCCCAGTTTAGTCTGCAAGGCGATTTGCAGGCAAACCACGATGGAGCCAGTTTTGTCAGCGCCGCTTTTGCCCAGGCAAGAAAATTTAAAAAAAAAAAATTGGATGAAAAGTTTTTTTTTATTTTTGCATTATTTTTCATTAGAAACAGTTTCGATGAAGGAAATTTCATTTATTTTTGAGGGAATCAAAATTTTAGAAATTTCGCACAAGTACAAAACCTGGAGTTTTTTTTTTAATAAATAAAAATAATATTTTAAATTTTCGTGAAGTAATAAAATTATTTATTATAGAATTGGTTTTTAAATCATTTCATTTTCACTCCAAAAATTAAATCATTTTTTACTTCTACCAAAATTGAAATGATTTATAACTGACGGCAATTTAATTCATTTTAAATGCCTTTTATCCTTTGTGCAAACGGAAGGCGGGAAAAGAGGATGACGGCGGCTGGGTGCGTAAGCCGATTTTGACCATGGAATGCCGCAGCTTGCAGACAATGAGATTTATCCTGTGGAGCGGCCAATTGGATAAGCCAGACATGATGCTAATCGCGAGCAACAGCGAAGGACTTAAAATGGAGCCGCTCGCTTTTCACAGGTACCTCTGCTTTAACAAAGGGAAGATATTTTAAAATGTGAAAAATTTAACCAAAAAGTGCAATGGCGCAAAACGGCGAGTGGACCAAAGTTTACTGCATGACTAAGGACAAAGGCGTGGTTGAGGCTTGCGTGGAAGGCGCAACTTGGAGGGTCAACAAGGAGTTTGAAGACCCGGGCGAACAACTTTTGCAGCTTAAACTCGACAAAGAGGAGGAGAATTTGTTCGGAACAACTTGCAATGGCTTTAGGTTAGAAATATTTCTAGCTCCAACTTTATGACCGAATATCAGAAAGGAAAAATTAAAAAAAAAAAAAAAAAATCATCATATACCAAACAGTAAAAAAAAAAAAAAATATCAGAATATTTTTATATGCATCTGTGATTTTTAGATTTAGTTTTATGAAAATAAAAAATTTCAAGATAACTCTTTCAAGTTTTGAAAAAAAAATCAAATTAAGCAAAGTTATTTTTTAATTTTATTAAATAATTTCAAATTCAAGCATCAACAAAAGTATTACATTTTAATCAAGTTTTCTGAAAATTGCCTTTCTCTTTTGGTTGGGTTTTAATTAAAACTGATTAAAACGAAGACAAATATTTAGCATATGAATTATTTATGTAATTACAGAATCTGGAACATTGAAAGCTGCACGATGAAATCATTCACTCTTGCGCACAGCGTTCGAAACATTTCGACGAAAATGCTGCAGTCCAACTCATGCGTACTTTCATTATCCAAAGATATTCTCGTCGCGGCAGTCAGGTTTGACGTTCATTTTTTTATTTATGAATGCTCGCTCGTCAGTCGTTATTTGCACGGTGAATGCTTTTAATGCGCAATCACCCGGACATATAAATCTCGACAATAACGACGAGCCGTAAAAAATTATGCAACCCGCGTAACCTGCTTGTTGCACATAAACCTTTATTACTATTCATAACAGCGGCGATTCAACAAGTTAGTTCTCACCAGAAAATATATGAATCTCTAATTTTAGGAAAAGTTTGTACGTGTGGAACGTCGAGTCGGAGCAACTGCTGAAAGTTCTCGACGCTCATTTCGGCAGAATTATTTCTCTCGAGCCTCTGACTATTGGCAACTGGAATTTGGTACACAAAAAAATCTCGAGGAAAACTTCAGGCCATAAAAATGATATATTTTTTTATTCAGATAATAACTTCATCGATCGACAGATCAGTCAAGGTCTGGAACATAAATAACATTTTTGAGCAAGTTCACGCGATCGACAGGCATGAACTGCAAATCGACGCAATCACGTGAGCTCAAAGTTTTACAACCAAATGACTTTTTGCTGGGATATGCAAGTTTTTCCAAGAATAATCTGATTATTCATTTAGGCCATCATCCATCATTTAGAGTAAATCCGTATTAATTTCCAAATTTTCACGTTTATCTAATGCTCATATAATTAATTACTTATTTCTATATTTATTAAATAACAAGTTCATTTAAAATTAATTTCAAATCTTGATTAAATATGGATGGAAATTATGTAATTAATTTTTATCATCTACGGGCGTACAAAGATTCCTTATTTGCGACCAGTGAGTAATAATTTTGAAAATAATATGCATTCATGGAGTCAAAAAATAAATATTCATCTCAATAACTTTACAAAAATTACGTTCTTCGATGAATTTCGTAAATTAAATTTTAGTATTTTTAAAAGATCTTAATTGATCGGTGCTAAAAAAATTAAATTATTTTTTTATCACTTGAAAAATGTTTGAAAATTTGACTTTGCAAGTATTTTGGAGAAAATTTAGCAAAATTTAAAATTTGTTTTACAGCGGTAAGAAATTTAAAAGTGTGATTTGCTCAGCTGAACGCTTTAAATAGTAAAATGTAATCCAAAAAATCATTCTGCTTTTAAATAAGTTAAATTTTTGTGGAGAATTATTTCATAATTTTAGGACAATTTTGACAATTTTTTCCATGTTCAGAATCGCGCAAGACGCCTGTCTGGCTATTACCGTGACGAGGGGTTGCGTCGGAGTGTGGGACTTGTTGACAGGCACCCAACAGGCCCGGCTGGCCGACAGTCCTTTGGGTGCAATCGTCACTCACGCCGAGGTCACCTCGGACGGCAGGTGCTAAAAAAGAGATTTCCATACTGTTTCGGGTTAATATTTACGGTTCATTTAGGTACATCGTGTCTGCCGAGTCGGGCAACTTGATCATTTGGAATCGCGCTCTGGAGAGCGTCATTTTTAAAGAGGAGCAGCCCAACATCAAACAGATTCTGCTGCTCAACAACGGAGAAAGGTTGATCTCGTTTTCCTTTTCGAGAAAGTTCTCTTAATTTGTCCGCAAAGGTTCTTGACGGCCTCCGGTCCGTCCGAGGGCGCTACAGAGGGATTATTAGTGGTAAGAACTTTGCCTGACGGCGAACGCGTTTGGGCTGCGAACTTCACGCTACACTCGAGTTTCAAGCCGGCCGTCGTCACTTGCGATAATGAGCACATTGTGATTTGCAACCAGGAGGACGCCTCGGCTGCTCCAAAAACAAGGTGACTTGATTTTTTTTTAGTTTAAATTCTTTAAAATTACTTTTCTATTAAGCATGATTTCCTTACGATATGATTAAATTCCCTCAAATGAATTTTTGTATAATAGATTTTTTTCTTAATTAATATATTTTCCTTTAATATAAAGTAATCGATAGTAATTAAAAAATTTAATTTCACTCTTTAAACTGGCTAGATAATCTTCTCCTCATTAGGAGAAAAAGTTTTGCCAATTTTGTAAAAAAAAAAAAAACTAAGTTTCGTTTGAGCCAATGAAACGGAAAAAACTTCTGAAAAATCCTAATATTATGAAAAATAAAAGGTTTTTTATTAAATTTTTTTTGTTCATATAAATGTAAAATATTTATTAACCTTTCTCTTTAATAAATTTTGTTAAAATTCAAAGAAAAATAACTAAAGGAAATCAAATAATGCAAAGATCAAAACATTTTTTATTAATTTAATGGAATATTTGTTAAAATGTGTTTCAATTAGTAAATTGTTTCCACTTTTTTAATATTGCCTAATAGCAAAAAAGCGAATTCGCGGCGAGGTAGCGTTTCGAGCACCTCGGGCAGTCTCCACTCGTCCAGGAGTAGCAAATCCAGTCGCTCGGGTTCAGCTCGGAGCCGCTCGAATTCCGTAGGTTCGACATCCTCCGGCGGCACAGGCCCCACCACCAAAGAAACTCTGCTGGTGTTTGACGCAGAAACCGGCAACCTGAATGCAAAATTCCAACTAAAATCCGGTTTGACAAAAGAAAAACGCTGCTTTTTGCATAAATCGAGGTTTGACGATAAATTTGCTTAGGGAAGGAAGTGTTGCAAATTCTGGCGATGCCCAACAAGGCGAACCTGGTGGCCGTGATTGATTCGGATAAAGCGACCGTGGTCGATATTCGCGGCGGCGGCAATGGCACAAACGCCAAAGTTTCGAGGACGATCCAGAAATGGGGTGGCTGCTGCACGCAGGACGGCAAGTACGGCCTCTACGCCCCGACGCGGTACGGAAAAACAAACATTTTCCTCAATTAAAAATAAAAAACAATTGTGTACATCTGCATTTCAAAGAGCTTTCTCTAATTGCACCTCGGGCGGTTTCATCATTTTTTCCTTCTTATTTTTGCTTCACACAGCGGCGGTTTGCAGCTGCTGGAACTGAAACACGGAGCGACTGTCAAAACATTCATCCCAAAAGTTGCTGAGGGTGTTTTTACTGTCATGTCGCTGTTCAATCAAACGGACGAGTATGTGCTCTACTACCACAGTGGCAGAAGAACTTTGCGAATTTTCAAGTATGGAATTTTTATTTCCTATTACGATTCCATCACTTTTTGAATGATATTTTGATCAATTGTATCAAAACAAATATATATTTATATTGCTTTAAAATATAAGCTTATTTAAAAAAAAATAAGTATTTTATATTTGTCATTTTTATCCCACAAAAAATTATATCTCAACTTTCTCAGTTTGTATTTTTCATCTTCTTTGTAGAACCGCAGACGCGAGTATGATTGCAAATTACAAGGTGCAGGCCGAGTTGAGCGCGATCGCGAGCACCAAAGATGGAAAGGCGTTGGTGTTGGGCGCGGTTGATGGATGCATCTCGGTGCTCGCCCTCGCCGATCCGAGCAAACCAGAAATGATCTCTTTCCTGTCCACTTTGCCCTCGAGAGACGAAAAAGTATAGGCAAATTCAATTTCCTCCAAAACTTCCTACTCTACATTCTTTTGCAGTGGAAAAAGGAGTCCATGTTAAAACACCACGAAATCGACGACATCATTCAGGACGCGGAAAAGCAGGGCGCTTGAAAAAAATGCGTTTCGTATATAATTTGAATTTGTTGAAGAGATTATTGCATTTTAATTATTGTTGGTAGAAAAAATATAGCCATGGTATATTATTGCAAATGTTACTTTCAATGGAAATAACCAGAGTTGAGGACAAGCAACTTGAAATTTTTTTTAATTAATTTAGAATGAATTACGAACGAAGTAAATCATGAAAAATTTTATGATTGATTTCCTTTAATCGTCAAATCGAATACATTAAAAAAAAATTTATTCGTTCTTAGTTATTAATAATTTGATAGTATAAATTTTTCTATAGCCATTTGATTTAAAAGTCAATATTTATTTACCTTATTTTGCTTCCTAAAGGTCCCAAAATACATTCAACATGATATGTTGGCTCTGGCACAAAACCCAATTCGTCAAAAGTGTGACGTGCTTTTGTGGGAAAGAAGGGGAATATGTCAAAGATGAAAAAGTACTGTGACTGCATATGTTAGACTTTTATTGATAAACCTTGATACAGACCTACTGTGCGCTACATAATATGTGTGTGTGTATGTGTTGGCGGAGTTTCTCTCTTTTTTTTCAAACATTACATTTTATTTATTTAATTAATCTACGTCGATTCCAATACAGCATGGAGAATTGCACTGATAATATTTGCGACAGATCATAGTAGGGAGAGAGAGAGATGAAACGACCGTTGCAGGCCAGGAAGGCAATCACGCTGCTAGTGATGCGGTTGCTAATCACGCTACGTACGGAAAGATCGAATATACACGTGGACAATTAATCAATCCTGCCGAGGAAAGCAGCATCGAAATCGAAGGTAGAGATAAAAATATACATCGATCTGCTGTGCTAAAACACATATGTATGTAGGTACAAATCTGCTGGGTTATACTTTTTATTATTATTATTATTATCGGGCGAGAAAATGAGGAGAAAGGACGAAAGGAGCCTCTGGGTGGGAAAACTTCTTGATTTGCATGCCGGAGTTGTGATAATGAGTGTCGAGAAAAGGAATAGAGCCCGAGGAATTTCGGAATTAAAAACGTGTGGAATAATTAGGAGGGATTAGTTGCCGGTGAAGAGAACTGCGTCGCGCTTCCTGCGGCCAGGCCCTCCTGCGTACGAGGCGGCCGCCAGTCCGAGCAGGTGTTTGGCCGTCTGCGATCCCGAAAAGCCGCGACTCATGCCGAAATCCAGGCCTCGTTTTGAGCTGCGAAAATCAGCGAGAGGACTCGCGTTGTTATTGCACTCGGCAGGCAAAACGTGCAGCAAAAACGAACACAGAGTGAAAGAGAAAGAGAGCAAGCGGAACTACACAGGCTTTTGTTGTAATCCGTCGCGGCTGAAATATGCATGAGAATTCATTATTCATAAATGCTTTCCACATCGTGCAAAACGACACTGTGCAGCTCCTCACACCGAGGAGCTTTCGCTGATGCTGCGGCCACTCTTTTTTTTTCATATTAGAAAACTACTGGAAATTAAATTCTATTTAACGCCTTAATTTTAAATTTTGTAGATAGTTCAAGGTATTGAATTAAAAGTGAAATTAGTGGCGCTTCAATAAATAATTCTTACACACCTTGAAACTTTTTAACGAATCATTCAGTCTTAAATTACATCCACATTATTATGAAATGACTCGGCTTTTTATTCAAGCTATAAGATATTATTATTTTGAAATATGATAAAAGATTTAAATAATTCAGAAAAAATTTGGGATGTGCAGTGAAATATTCTTGAACCGGCTAAAATTAATTAATAAATATATTAAATTGTTAAAAAGGTTCAATATTTAAGAATTATTATTTCAAAATTATTTTAATATATATCAAGATCTTTTTTACATCAAAAACTTTTATTTCCTGAGAGAAAAAAGCTAAATATTCTTAAAATTTCCAGTTTTTTTTTTACCACCAGTTTGTGCCTTTGGGTGATTTGTGTGTGTTGGGTTGTGCAAAACGAGCTTCATGGCAAGTGAGGTGCAGTTTTGACGTTTTGAAAAGGCAGGCATGCGCGAAATGTCGGAAAAAAGTTTGTTTTAAGAATCTGCTTGGCATGATATCGAGTGGAATTTGATCGTAAATCTACTGTCTGAATGAGAAAGAGGAGAGTGTTCGGAAGAGGTTCGAATTTTAGCATCTACTCGCGTGAATGGTTTTTATTATGTATGAAAAGATATATGTCTGATATTTACATTTTTAAAAGAGCATGCTAAAGTGGATCAAATCAAATGAGAAAAACCAGAACTCAGAGTATACGAATTTTTATACACATATTTACCTCTTTGGGGTGTAAATTCTTTTGTTCCGATGAAACAAGAAATTTACCAGCATTAGTTAATTTTCTTTTCTCGAAAATTTTTAAATTTTCTGCTTTTTTTAATTAGAAATCAACTCGGCAAAGCTCATAAATTAAGACCACACAAATATATAATTATTATTTTTCTGCTATAAAATCAAAGTTTGTGCTTTCGTAGCAGTTTGTGCAGCTTTCAAATTGTGGTGCTGTTGACGACAAGCAGCACATTTGTGACGCGCAAAATACCTCTCGAGCTCCTGATTCCTCAACATCGATTGTCCCAGGCGAGCCAAAATTTGGAGCATCAGTTCAGGATCCATGTCGGTCTCTATTACTTCGTTGCTGAAACAGAGTTAACAAGGATTTTCCAAGTGCACGTAATTAAGTTTAATAATATATCTTATAATTAAAAGAATAAAATAAAATTTGATTTTTAATCCATTTTAGAAATTAATAATTTAAAATTTATATTTTATTTTCTATTTATTGTTAATTTTAATAAATTAATTTGTTGGATTTTAAATTCAACAAATGTAAGTACCTGAAGAGTTACAGGAAGAAAAAAAATGTAATTTTCTCAATCAGATATAATCAAAATCATGTGTGTCACATTTTCAGGAAAGATTAAATGAGTTTATATGAGACCTAGAAATGTTCCATTGATATCTGATAAATGAAAGAACAAAATTTGATTAAAAAAGTAAAAAAATTAATTCTACAAATTTAATAGTTACTAATAAATATATTAAATAAAAGAAAATTTTGAACAATTATTGATAATCATTCTAGTTGCCAATGGTTGCACCTTAAAAATATATTTTTAACTCTCCCTAATTTTGTATCAAAAATTAACAATGCTCCAGGAATTGCTTTTTAAAGAAATGATTCAATTGAATTCTTGCTCTTATGCTTGCGTCGGTCGGCGCAGGAGCAGTTGTTGGGAGTGTTTTGAGGTCAAACTCACCTTGGATTGATTAGTGGAGATCCATTTGCGCAGGCCATCAGGCATAACGTGATAAGCGCGAACAGGGTGGCTGCAATTCCTGGCCTCATCCTCTCTGTTTCTGTCTCTCTAATTATATTTTTCTAACGCTGCAACACACGATAAATTCATTGAGCAAAACTCGCACCCCCGCAAATTAACTCGATGGCACCCCTAGCTCATAATATAACAATGATGATGGTAATAATGGCAAAAATTACTGCCCACATCTCGTCGCGTCCAATTTGGACTGTTTATGTTGCTTGCGCCATAATCGGCCGTACCAATTCATTATTTCTCATCTCGCAAAAAAAATATACGGCGTGGCAGTAAAAATCTTAATGGCTGTGCGTGGTCAGCCGGCCTGCCAGCTTTCCGATTTCGCTGCCCCCCGCGGGGCCCGGCCGACCCCTGCCGCGCCCCTCTGCTCGGGCCCTCAACTTTTCTTTCGTCACAATAAGTAAATTTGCATGCTCAGCCTGGCAGTCCTGCTGCGCATCTCTTTCTCTCGCTGGCGCGTGTGAAATGCACAGAAAAGAAAAACCTTTTTACGCTGCCTTTCGTCCGTTTCGCCCTTTTTTTGTTTGCACTCTCTCATTAAAGCGGCCTCCACTCGCCAGGAAGGGCCGGGATATCAATTTCCTCATTTAGAGAAGAGAGAAAAAGGCCTGAGCGTGCCGTGGATTCGCAACACACACGGAAGTATCATTGACGATTCCTCCGTTGAAATGCCGCGGAATGGAAGCATATTTTCTGAAGACTAAAAAAAAAACATAGAAATCGGATATACTCGAGAATTTTCATTTCATATTATGATGGCTTATCAAAATGTTCAAACTTTCAAAGATCATAGATATTTTTATCTTATCATAATAGTATATATTCATGATATTATACTAAATTTTCGATTAAATGTTTATTAATTTTATCATTTCAAATAATCAATAAAATTTTTTTACAAAATATTGAGTTACTAAGAAACATATTAAAGCATAAAATTAATTCATATTTTTTTAGTAAAAAATAAATAAAAAATTATAAATTTAAATTATTAATAAATATATTAAAATGATGTTAAGTTGTTTAATAATAAAACAAAAGTTTATATTTCTAAAGACAACACAAAAATAAATTTGTGCAAGATACAACAATTTTTTACTTGGGATCTAGGGAAAAATGTTTGAACAAAAAGCTTGCCCACGTAATTAATTAGCATAATAAGCTTTCGTAATTTACTTGTTCTTTTCACGTTTTGACTTTACGCGGGATACAAATGCTCGGCACGCGTTCCACAGACGGACTCACGTCCTCCATGAATTATGCAATGAAAAATTGCAATCTTCTCAAGAATCCCCGCGTTTCCCTCTTTGCATTTTAAACACGCCCGAAAAGCCGCGAGGTTTAATTTCATTTTGTTATACATTTGCCGCTGGCGAGAAAAAGGTCATTCTGCGTCAGCACCGACCGAAAAGCACACTGTGGAGAGTAAATTCAAATCGTTGAAGCTTGAAATCGCGAGAGCTGTAATTACTGTTTGCAAAATCCACCGGCGGAAGCGCGGTCGCATAATTACCAGGCGGGGGTGTATCTGTTGAATAATACAGGGGGAGCAGCTCATTTGAAATGCTGCCACTCCACTTAAGAGACCGTGATTGATTCCAGATCGCTCAAAATTAGCGTACGTCTCTCGAGGCCGATACGGAAATCTGTAGATTGCGTGGGTAGAGACAGAGCGAGAGAGCCTTTGCCGGAATCGACAATGGCAATTACAAATAAAAGCGTCAGCAGATGAGAAGTCTTGAAACACGCAATTTACTTAATGAATAATTACGCCTATTGCCATAATTAGCCTACAGCAGCTTCTGAGATTTTCTCTTGATTGTCTGAAACTTTCGGTCCCTTTAATTTCTAATCATGTAAGAAGGAAATATTTCAATTTTCAAAATTTAAACGCAATACTTGATATGTTCTTTTAGTGTCACATTTATTCACATTTTGAATAAATATTTAATTTATTTCAAGGAGTGTAATTAGAGAAATAAAAAAAGAAATTTGGAGAAATTATGAAATGTAAATAATATTTTAACGTTTTGTTTGTAACAACACAATTATTTGAAATGATTATTTAAAAGTTATGTATAAAATTGAAGAGCTATTGTAATTAAGGAGAATAATTTTTGAGTGTCAAGCAAGAATAATTCGTTTGTATAGGGAAAGCAAAGAAATTTCTATTCCATCATTCAATATCTCGATTGGCAACACGGTTCGCTTACAAAATGTTTTTGCAGAACCAACAAGTCTTTGACACCGCAGATGATTTATGGCCTCACATCGTTCAGGCTCGCGGCTTTAAAAGTCAATTTTCCAACTCACTCGCCGGAGTAAAATCATTTTGGCATTAACGGCCCACCTGAAATTTATATCCCTTTTCAAAAGGAGTAGCACTTTCTTTGGCCCCAGGAATAGATCGAGTAATGAATTGCTTTAATTGCAATTGCGAAATTAGCATTTCCATTGTGCAAGTGAAACTCGTAAAGCTCCGCTCTTGCCAGGTAGTCTGTCTTCCGGCGGCTCCGTTTAATCTCGGCTTTGAAGAATTCCTCGGCTGTGACGCGTGCGGCGCATCTCACCCTCCAGGAATGTAATAAAACATAAGACGCGCGCCTCCTTTATACTCAAAGAAACAGCTTTACGATCAAAAAGGGCGGCGCTTTTGTTTTCGGCCGGCAGGTGATGATTAATTTTTTGCCCCAGTTAAGCTATCCGGTGTCAAATGAAAGAGCCGAATCGGTTCGGCGATCGCCAATTTCAATTCTGCTTGTTTGTTTGCTCTCTATCTCGCGGCTGCAGCTCCCAGCTGAATCGCTTTAGCGTGAAATTTCACGCGACGCCGATCGTAATTGGATTGGATGGGAGGAAAAAAAGTACGACCTTGCCTGCAGGGAAAAGTGATTTCATATAATATATGCCTTGAAATTGCAAGTTGGATACACGTGCAGTGAAGTAGAAGTTAAGAGATTTAAAATTCGAACAACAAAAGTAAATTATTTTAAGTTGAAAACTTTTGAGAAGCTAAATTTTTTAGTTTTATTTTCAATTTATTTATTATTCATCTTAAATTTTTTATTTACAGAGAGAGCAAACGGAGAGATAGATCAACCAGGACTGCTTTAAATGGTATGTTCCAAAATTTTGAAAAAAAAATTCAAACAATATTCATCAACATGAAGTCTTTTCTGCGTTGAGGAAATTAGAAAGAAAAGAAATGTTCGCTCATGAAACAGGTTTTTTTATATGGAATTTATGTCAAATTTTAAGATAATTACTTGCTTCAATTTGCTCTTGATAGAGTGTGTAAAGAAGTTAATAAACAAATTCAATTTTTCTTTACTCGTTTTATGATCTTTTTAAATTAAAAATGTTCTTCTGTAGTATCAATATTTTTTAAAACTTACGCAATCTTTCTGACAAAGTAATTATTGTAAGAATAAAATGTCTTATTGTGCCTTTTGAATTTGGACTCCTTGCCAATTTTTGCCAAATAATCTGTTTCTGACGTAATGGGAAAAAATACTATTACAGACAAGAAGTTGGTGAGTTGGAAAATTTCTGTCTTGCAGAAGAGAAAGAACGAAAGAAATGACAAGTTATTTGTTATTCTTTGGAAATTTTGGACCAATCACATGCAGCCGTCGGCCATGGCGTATTAAGAGAAAGTCAACTAATAGCATTTTTTACTATTTGGCTCTTCTTGTACACGAAAATTGAAAATGTTTATCGTGGATCTTCAGAAGAGATTCTTTAGAAAGTGAAGAAATCATTTTTCCTCCTTTTCATTCCATTCCCTTTAAAAAATGTATTGCCTGCTTTTTAATTCTACTCATCCAATCGTTTTTTCCGTCTTTCATTGAAGCTTTTTCCCGAGTTTTTTCATGCAATTGTTTCTCTCTGAAAGCAATTTAACTTGTACACCAATGCTTTGCAATAATTTTTTTTATTCAAAACAGCAATTCACTTCAGCAAATCATGTCATTCACACGAGCAAACTCCGTTCCGTGATTTACGCTTTTCGTATAAATGTTGTGTTAATTTTGAACTAAATCTTCATGCTCAATTTAGTACATAAATAATGTTATTTTTCCTCCGAAGTAAATTACAGTTTTGTTAACAAATGTGATGAATAATTTCCCGTTGTTTCTGGTTTGAGGCGCATAAAACGTATACCGCGAAATATGTACACATAAAATTTATATGCTTTCGCTCGTAAACAAGCGACGGACGTAAAAACAAATATTTCCCGTTCGCCCGCTTGAGCCGCACCACGCATTACAACAAATTGAACGATATTGCAAATGGCGAGACCGGAACGTTACATTTAATGACGAGCAGACCTTTATTTCTTTCTTTTCCTTTGGACGCAACGCGATATTTTTATTATTGGCTCAGCGAGTTGTCAGCAACAGGTCGGTTTATTGGATGCACACGTGGCGCCGACTCCTCTCCTTTTCCTTTTACTGATTGTGCACCCTTTGATCATTTATTCCTTTTGTCAGAGTATCGTGAAAAACATAAACTGCAATTTGCTTCTTGCGGCTCGCACTTTTTGCGACTCGCTCGACCGCTGAAATTGGACTTATGCACCCCGCACGAGCTGCGTGGTCAGCGGGTCTGCCTAGTTTTGAATTTGCAGGCGTTTTATTAACAACCGTCAACGTTTTTTTGCTTGATAAAAGAATATAAATAGTTTATTTTGAATATCTCGAATATCTATATAATAATTATAAATTAATAACATTTCTAAAAGATTTGGATTAGTTGCAGTTTTGATACTCGGTTATGTATATAATAAATATTACTGCCAACTTCATTGAATTAAATTTTAAGAGAAAGTTTTTACTAAAATTCAGATAAATATATTAATGTTTTGCCCAAAAAATATTCGATAATACAATGGGTAATAGTGATTAATTACGAAGGCCAAAGTTAAATATCCGGAAGGCTTTTCCAAAAACCTTTATTAGATGTAAATTTATTATGTTCTGCTTTTTCATCTTTCTCTAACAACTCGAGGCTCAAAAAATAAAATAAAAGTTATAATGGGTAATAATACTTCTTAAGGAAATTATATAATTTAACATTGAGAAAAATGAAAATTTTTCCTCTAAAATTAACAAAAGCCTCTTTCTTCTATACAATAAAGGTTACCTCTTGGAAACCAATTTAATTTTTGACCAAAATTAAAATTGTGCCTATTAATCAATAAGTAAACTGGTATAAGTTGTCTTTTGCTTTTGCAAGAAAAATCCAACATAATCTTTAAAAAATACAAAACTACTACCCTGTCGTGAAATTTGACCAAAGCCTATCAAAACGTTTTTTTATCTTTTCCGCGCACGATTCTTCCACAAAGCAGAAAGGTCAGAGCTGCTGGTTGAATTTTGCACGTAGCTCTGGAAACAACGAACGGATGCGCCATTCTCGCCCTCCAGAGACAAAACGTCATCGCAAAACTTTAATTCCTCCGCGCACACAAAGGTCTCGCAATACAAACTGCTATGTTTATCTTGCCGTGAATTTTCATTACTTTCAGCGCGACGTAATTGAATATGGAGTGTGTGTAAAACTTTTGTGTAATGAATTCGCAATTAAATTTGCACACATGAACTTCCAACTAATTCCTTCCGCAAATCCCCTGTACGGTTCTACGATCAAGTTTGTGTGAAGAACAAAACATTTTTCTGCACCAACTTTTAATGCATTAAATTCAATTTTGCATGGGAAAAATAACACAAAAATTTGATTTGAGATCAATCAGTTAATTGTTTTTCTGCTTGTTACGTGCTTATTAACTTAAGATTGTCAATCTTAAACTTAAAAAAAAAAAATGAAAATTGTTCTTAAAAATTATTATTTTTATAAGTATGAAAGTGAATTTGCAACTAAAAGTATTATTATAAGCATGACAGTATATGAAAGAGTCTCTACAAATTATGAAAATAATATTTTTAATATTCTAAAAAGAAATTGTGGCATCGAGAACTGAATAAATTTGGATAGAAACGTTAGTTATAAAATTTAGTTTTAATAACAATTTTTGTCAAAGTTGACTTCATCAAATATGCCCTAATTAATCCGTATGCTGCGAACTTATAAAAAAAAAACACAAAATTTTGCTCATTTGAGAGAAGCTTTGGAAATGGGAACGGTTCATAAAATATGTTTTAGATATTTTGTTATAAAAGATATAAATTTGATTCAAAAAGCTGATCTTTCGTGTAAGCTAATCAAGTCTGTTGTGCCGAGAGCTCTTTCACAGCCACTCCGATCGCAATATGGCAAAAATTCAATTTGGCCGCAAATGGTGGGCGCGCGTGCATTTTTCAGGCCGTTCGCCCGCGGCTGCCGCGCTCGATGGAAAACTTCTTTGCCTGTGCTGGAAGAGCATATCAGCAAGAAACTTCTCTCCCCCTTGTAATCTAAGTTGTACACAGACGGTCATTGTTGTTGTGCAGCCTATCAAGCTTCTGCACTTTTGACCTTTGCGGAGCACAAGGAAAAGTATTAATTCGCCGCGATTACAAACGCATTCAACCTCAAAAAGGGAGAAATGAATAATTTTTTTCATGGGAGAAAAAGAGTTATTTTTCTTTCGGATGAGAAAAATCCACGCAAGGCGTTCTCATTAGTGTCCATTTATCAACAGGTTTCTGCTTCACAAGCTAATTAGTCCTTTGAATTTGTTTCAACCGGAGGTGACGGCAGATGAAATGATTGTTCACAAAAGAGAAAAATTACTCAAAATAATGAGGAATGACATAACACAATTATTATATAATGTCATTAATTTTTTTCTATTTGAAATAATTCTTTGTAGTAAGATGTTGTCGATGAATTGAAAATTAGAGAGATTTTTCTTATTTTTTCCTATTCAATATTTTTCATTTGAACAACAAAAATTATCAAGTAAAATCGGTTTTTAATTCACAGACGTTTGCAAAAACACCCAAATCTTAAATTTTCTCTGCCATACTAAGTATTTTATCATCTCTCTATAATTCATACTTTCAAATAAAATGGTTTGAATGGTGAAATATTTCTAAGCCAAATATAAATTTGCAGGAAAATAATTTGAACAAAATCAGTAAGATGTGAAAAGTAGGAACGATGCTGACAGCAATTGCAAATAATATGAGATGAATTAGCAAGTGTCAGTGAATACTCACGTAGTTTGAGCCGAAATTTGCCGGGACCGTGCGGCGCGAACTTGTTGAGTGGCCGAGAGAGATGTTTGGCGGGCGGCGAGTGCTTAAATACACGGGCAGGTTGCGTCGAGCCGAGAGCACGGCGCGAGCGCGGCTTGCGAGGGCGTGTGTTGCAGAGTGAAGGGTGCACATCAGACACCCTCTCACACGTCATCATCCGTCAAAACGCGACTTAATTGCCACCCTCCCTCTCGCCCGCGCGTCGAGTGCAAAAATAATAAAAAGAAATTAATCTAACCGTTTTCCTTCCGGAGTTTGACCCGCTTCCAATTCCAAGAATTACATCGACGCATTATTTGAACGGTTATCAAAACTTTTTTGTCGCGGTCTATTTCCGAAAGTGTTATTGTTTCGCGTAACTGTTTTCTATGCAAATTTTTTTTCTCTCCACTATAGCAAATTGAATCTGGAAAAAAAGCTACAAAGCAAAATGACAACGAGATGGGAAAAGTTTTAGAAGAAAAATGGTGGAACTTATAAAAAATAATTGTCTTAGCATTGCTGTATCCTATACACATTCACCCGTGAATTTAGATGAAAAATTTAACTCGTTTTGATACTAAAATTTTAAATTATAATTACACAACTGAAGTAACTGGAAACGGACTAATTTGAAATAATTTGATGTAATTTTACAGTTTAAAAATCTACGGCCAAGTCTTGCATTTTTTTTTTTTATAAAGCAAATCAATATAAATCTGAGAAAGAAGAATAAAAGCTTTTTTGACATTGGATTTTTAAGTTTTTTTTTTCATGTCAAGACCTATCGAGAATTCCATGCCAACGAGATTTGAATGTCGTATATTCCCTTTCACTTTCCAATTCCTTTGACTTGTGATTTCCTGGATGACGGCTAGACGCTCTCACATTCTTCTCACGCACTCCGGCCTTTGTCAAAATCGTCCTTTAGTCTCTGCACTGCTGTATCCGATACGCACTCGCCTGTAACTCAAAATAGGATGGAAATAGGCAAATTACGGTCTGTTCTGTTTTGATATGAAATGAGCCGACCAATTCCACTCTCTTTGAACTTAATGCCGGCTCAATTGGTGCTATAAACACTTGTTGAAGGCCGCTTATTATTAAATTTCTAATTGTGGCGTCATCAACAATAAATCAATTGTAGTTTGTGGATAATGCCTAGATTATTTTAATTAATGAAAAAGCTATTTACATCAATTATAATCACTAATTTATATATTTAAATAAAAACAAAATAAACTTTTCAAAAGTTTAGTACAGTTTATTAAAAAAAGCACCTTCTAAGAATGAAGTATTTAATGTATCGGACAGAAAATATAACTTAAATTAACTAAAATATATTTATTTATTGGTATTTGAAATATATATCTTTCTTGTATGTTGAGCACACGTGTGTTTAATAAATATTTGATAATGAAAAGATTATCATAATTAAAGCAAGATTTAAAACGTTTGTAGCAAAAAATTCAGTCTTTTCAATTCTTGTCTTACATATTTCAGTTTTTGATTTCATTAAATTCTAAATTTCGTTTGGTTTTCCAACAAGATTTCAATGTAGATTATAATTTTACCCATTTTTCCTTGCATGTTTTTTTAGTGGAAAGCAAAGGTGTTTTTTTTATTACAGCGCCTCATTTTAGCCCTTTGCCTCGCGTGGGAATATAAAAAATGGCAAAAAAAAAAAACGAGTCTTTCGATCAATGCGAAATTCAAATTAGGCAATAACGCTTTATACGCAGGAATTTTCCTGCAGTCTGTCAAATTGTGATAAATAATTCAGAGAGCTCAAACTGGCGTTGTCAGACGGACGTCATTCATACACACAATCTGATTGCGGCCCACATTAATGGGCGCTCGGAAGGAGAACGGTAATTGCATCAAACATTCTTCCTCCAGGGTTGAAAAGGAGGCCCTAAATTATTTGCAAAATGCGCACCAGCCCGAGAATCCAGGCAAGTCGGGATTCTGCGGAAATCAAGAGCCTAGAGAGCTACTGACGCACATTTCACATTCTAATGAGGTGTGCGAGTGAAAAGGACCAATTTGTTTCAAATGCAACTTCTAGTTTGGCCTCTACTTCGCTCAATTGCGACAAACTTTGCTCATTCATGCGACAAATTTGTGGGGGTATTTCGCCTGCAAAAGCAGGGAGCTTTCAAACAGATTTAAAGGGAGTTTGAGATGCTTAATTAACTTGCTACTGTTGCAGATTACAATTTGATTACTCTCACTGAATTCAAATATTGATTTTATTTTGTTCAAATTAAGATATTGAATCCGTGTTTTTTTATTTCTCGATTGGTTAATTAAACAATAAAAAAATAACAGTAAATGAACTGGATTTTCACCGGCGAGAAAGATGTTTTTTCCAAGAAAGTACCCTGATATAATATAAACATTTTATTCTTAATTCTTAAAAAAAAAAGTGGTGTAATGAACGGATATAGATAATCAATAGTTGGTTATTTTCTCATATTTTGTGTTACTATATGAAATTCTAAGAATAAAAAAGACGAAAATATTTGTTAATGTCAGAGTAAGACAAAAATAAAAAATCATGTTGACTTTACGCCATGTATTGATAGTGCCTAGATTTATTATTATTTTTATGAGAGTTAATTGAAATTTATTAATTAAGCATAGCTATTTGCTGGTATTTCCTAATTTTGCAGGAAGATGAAATAAAACTGAAAAACTGACGGTAATGAATGACTCATTCAGAATTAGGCTCATTATGGAGGATGGGGTCTTTTGACATAGAAAGTTTTAGAAAATAACTTGCTATAGGTTGGTATTGATTTGTCTAGCAATTCATTTTGGTAAATAAATTGTTTACAACAATTGTATTTAAACAATTTATTGCATCAATGTGAATAAAGAAACAAAATTAACAAGAATAATTATGATTAGGCTATTTTTATTTTTCTTATCTTTTTTTCATTTCTTTATTTTTCTTTATTCTTCTTTATTATTTGTGTGAAATGGTTGAGAATTTAAAGTTAATTTATTTTTGGCGCATTTAATAATGATTTTGAAGAAATATCAGATGAGATTATATTGCATTCAACCCTGGCCCGACAGTCCCATTAGTTTTCATTATTATACCACCAATTTTTCTCCATTTAAAATTCCCCTGTCACTCAAAACTCGTAGGCTATTTCGCGTGTTTCAACATCCCTTTCCTGTCGTCAGCTCTTTGAGCTTTTTGCGTGTTTGCTCTCCCGAAAAAGCGGCCCCCGCAAGCGTTTGTTTTCCCAGCGCAGGCCAAAATGAAAAAACGACAAGCCGCACCGTCGTGGTGGCTGTCGAGTGGAGTGTGCAAAATTAAAGCAGCCTCGGCCGCGTCACCATCTTGGTATAATTATTTGCTCAGTGCCGCGCGCGTCCTAAATCTGATTAGCCGCCCCGGCGTCGACCGCACACACACTTTAGCGCCGCCACAAGCAGCCCTCCTTGCAAATTATCTCGCGCACGCATCGATTAGTTTAAATGTTTTTGCAAACTACGCTCTTCCTGTTGCTGCGAGTAAGCTGACTTATGAAGACGGATTTAAACTTTTGGTGAAGAAAATAATAAAAAAAAGTTTCTAACAGTTTTCAAGTATAAAAATCTTCCAAAGTCTTGACGATGTGGCTTATAAATACAATAGAAATTAAGTAACGATTTGACCAAAAAGGTTGAGACTCTATGTGTTTTTGGTGCACATTTTTCGTCAAACTCAAATATAATAGGATAGAAGCCATGTCAAAACGATCTGCATTCTAGAATAGGCACATATTTTGCGCCCGCTTTTATTCGTTTTCCATTTCAAGCAAAGAAGCCAACAAATTTTTTTCCATTTAAAAAGTGTTTTTGTGTTTCTCTATGGCAGAAAAACGGTTATTTGTTGCACTTTTTCATGAATATATAGTATATTCATGTAAAAGCGCCCATTCATGGGTGATTGTTATTATTATTATTATTATTATTTTTTTTTTTTTGAAAATTTGAAATGTAAAATATTAAAAAAAATTTAATTTTCAGTTGGAAAATTCCTAAAATAAGTTCAAAAAGGAATTCTGTATAGAAAAAAATCAGCTTTAATTTGCTCAATCCATGCTTAAAATGTACTTAAGCTACACCAACTCTTTAAGTTTTTCTAGACCTTGGTACGAAAGCAAGAATATTTATTTTTAAATTCACTTTCGTTTTTTATAGTTTTTTTATGTGCAGTTTGCGTGTCTTGTGAAGTGAAACACGGACAACGACGGATATTGACCACACATCACAACATTTTGAATAATTTAGCACCTGTGCGGAACGAACTCACGGATGGCCTACCTAATGTGGGCGCTGTGCAAACAGGAAGCTTATGCAAAATCCAACCGACAAAAGAGAGGGAAAGCACTGTTTTCCCAATACATTTGTTAATGCGCGTCACTTTGACTTCATTTTTGTAACCAACCACGTTTCGCTTTACCTTGTAAAAATGAGCACCGGGAAATTTCCATTATAATCTTTATTCGTGAATCATTACAAATCTCACTATATAGCGAATTGCTTTTAAAGTTTTAACTTGGCGTCCAATTTTTTTGGTTAACAATAAAACTAACTGTTTTGTTGAGCAATAATAATTATGGGTAATAATAGAAAAAAAGAATATAAATAAATTCCCTTCCAAAAATTTTAATAATTTAAGATTTTAGTTAACAATTTTTGATCTAGAAACTTTTGATTGACAAATAATAAGTTGGAATAATTCTCATCTAAATTTTGGAGTGTTTGTTGTGCGGGTTGCAGACAACTTATAATCATATATGGCTAAAAAAAAATGAAATGCTTTAATAAATTTATAGATTTCTAGATTAATGATGATGAAATTAATTTCTGGAAGCAAACAAAAGCATTTTAAGCACATTTCGATGCTGGTAGAGAGGCGGTGGAAGTACGTCCTGATGCGGCACCACAAAGGAGCTTTTCGGCGGAAAAATGGTTCTGATGACGCGCGCCGTCGTGCGGGTCTAATCTCTCTCGCGCTCCAGGACCTGCCTGTCGCTTTTGTCGGTGTGCGTATGTGTGACGGAATTAGGCAGGCTCTCGTGTGACCAAAAGGTGAATGGATACACCAGAGATAAGAACAACACTCTTTAATTACGGCGCGGCCACACCACAAGGACCGCCGTCACGCTCCATGAATATTTACGCACTTTTCTCTCTCACACACAAAACACACTCTCGCCACAACGCGCAACTTCGCCTTGCTCGGCCCACTCGCCAAAGTTCCCCGAGAACAAATTCTGCTCTCTTTGTGATACACAAAAGCATTACCAAGTTATCAGCAGAGGATCTCCAAGATTAACACTTTTTTTCATTTATTAGCAAATGCACTCTGGCAGATTCTTTTGACCTCGGGTCTTTTTTTAATAAATCTTCCACATCGCAAAAGTTTTGTACTTCAGAACTTTTTTCATTTAATAAACTGAAATTACATTATACATTAAATATATGCATTTTTTAAATTTTTTATTATACAAGATTGGATTAAAACAAAAAATATATTTTAAAAAAATGATACGTATTATTACATTTTTAGGAAATATGAACTAATTACTATAAAATGAAACATACTCAATTGATGGTATAGTATAAATTATTAAAATATTGTTATTTTTAATAGACTTTGAAGTCATTTATTGATTCACATAAATTCAATATTGTTTAAGAAAAGCGGTACATGTTCAGCAGAATATTGTTCTTCCTATAAAAACTATATCTAAAAAAAAATTGAAATCGAATTTGTACTTACAATTTTTTCAATGACATTGAAGAATAATTAATTAGTATTGATTGTTACTTATATGTTTTATTTTATAATTGTTTGATTAAATTTGTAGTTAAATAATTTTTCTTTGAATTATCTATCTTAAGCGCTAAAAATTGTGAAGATAATCCAAGCATGGCTTGAACTGCTTTAATATCTAGAAAAAGCTTAAAAGTAAGATGAAAGAGCTGCCTTAACACTTAATTTCTCAAAACGCAAGATGAGTTTCTTGCTTTGCTCTTATTTTAAGTCAATTCTTGTATAAATTAATGATAAATTTAGAAAATAATCAGATCAATGCTCGAAGCACTTTAGTATCTAGAAAAAAAGCTTTAAAATTAAATGAAAGAGCTGCCTTAACAATTTAATTCACAAAACGCAAGCTAAGTTTTGTGCTTTGTTCTTACTTTAGAGAAAATAAAAGAATCGTTATTAAATCATCTGTTAAAAAAAAATATTAATTGTGACTTATTCGCTGCAAAAATTAGTTGAGAATACTAAAATTTATTAAAAAAATCACAGTCATGAAACTCATGAATTATTTCACAAGTTTGATTTATATCGCAGACTTTGAAGCATTAGTTGAAGAGTGAATCTCACAATCTCGGTGAAATCAAACAAGCATTTTGGATTTTCCGCGAAGTGCATGAGTGGGTTTTTCATCAAACTCTCCCTTCACTTTAATTTCGCCATGAGTAAACGTCCGGCAGGCAGGCGAATGACGGAAGGGGATTTCGCCCTTCAATGGTCAGTTCATTATTGCAAGTGTGTCCTCGTGAATTGTGACGAATTTTCCGCGCGGATAAATATCAATGGAGATACTTGTGTCTGCTCCATCTGCTTTAGTCATCGTTTGATATGCAACAATAATAATAAAATATGCCCCGTTGATTTCTGCATTTGCATTGCGATAATGGGCCGCGCAAACAAAACAAAAATGAAGTGATTTGATCACGAACGCGTTGTTTGATTACAGCGCCTCATCGGGATTAATTACTCGAGCCGAGAAGCGTCTATATTTTTATGGTTATGTGTCCCTTAATATGTCACGTTTCTGCAATGCAGTCAGTCTGTTGATTTGCGTAAGCAACATTGGGGTCGACATCAAGTTCATGAAAAAAGCTCTGCGGTGAATCACATTTAAAGTGGGAAATTTAGCATATTAAAAATAAAACACTTAGAGACCGTAATTTTGTTATTACAGCTGAAATACTGAAATTCAATTTGAAAAAAAAATTATAAAATATATTTTGACGAACATAATAATACATAAAAATATAAATATATTTCCATTTGAACTGATTCATAAAAGTATATTTGAGCTACAAGATAAAACAAAGTATTTCCCGGTATTTTCAATGAAATAGAAAATGAAATTAAAATTATAGCTATTTTCACGTGTATATCTGAGCAAAATCATAATAACTTATAATAACGAAATTTATCACTTTCAATTCTGGCCCCTTTGCATTTAAAAACATGATTTCAATTCTTGACCAGTAATTAATGATTAAATTTGAATAATTTATTAAATAGCTCCAATAAAACAATTTGGATTAGAATTTTAATATCCCTAAACAAAAAACTAATTTGTCACTCTCTGACAAGCACGTGGCGGCTAAAATGATTAATTATATTAGCGATGAAATTTTTTCGCTCTCAGCGTGTGTTGCGGGTTGCGGGATTTCCACCTGCGCCATCAGCGCCTCTGCGGGCGAAAACTGAAACTCGCTCACGTAAACAAACATTCTGGGTCAGCAGAAGAAAAATCTGCGCCGAATTTTGACTTTTTTCTCTCAAAATCTCAAATCGGTTTGAGAAAAAATTTTCTCAGACGTGTGCGAGCACGTCCCGCCGATTGATGTTGAGCCCGAACGAGTGAAATGGAAAAGGTGAGTTCCGACGTGGGCCGGAAACATGGGGCGAGATTTTCATTAATTATTTTTTCCAATTTCTGCAGGACTCGGAAGAGCCGTGCAGCAACTCGCTGAACCGGCGGCTGGGGGCCGCAGAGATAAGGGCCGTGCTCAGCATCGAGGAGGAGATGCCGCAGAACATGCTGCCGCCGCACCTCAACCTTCCGCACAACGCCCCGTACGCCATCGCGCCCTTCGAGGAAGACGAACCCTACGAACAACACGTCCGACGCAACATCTCCCCCGGCCCTTCGCCGCAGGGATCGCAAGGATCGCAGGATGACGTTTATAACAACTGGCAGGTAAATAATTTGAATTAAGATTCAAATGATTGATTTAATAATTTTCTAAAATATAGTCAAAATTTCATATTTATTTTTTAATTGATTTTAATTGTCATTAATTTTGAATTTTTGTTTTCAGGCAACAAAAACAACAGTCAAAGAGCGCTTTGCCTTCCTCTTCAACAATGAAATCCTCTCGGACGTGCACTTCATGGTGGGCCGCGGTGACCAGCGGCAGAGGATTCCGGCGCACAAGTTTGTCCTGTCCGTGGGAAGTTCCGTGTTCGACGCCATGTTCAACGGCACCCTGGCCCTGCAGGCGGACGAAGTTGAACTGCCCGACGTCGAGCCCTCCTCCTTTCTGGCGCTGCTGCAGTTCCTCTACTCGGACGAGGTCAACATCGGGCCCGAGACGGTCATGACCACTTTGTACACGGCCAAGAAGTACGCGGTGCCCGCCCTCGAGCAGCACTGCGTCGAGTTCCTCAAGCGCAATCTGCAGTCGGACAACGCGTTCATGCTGCTCACCCAAGCCAGGTTGTTCGATGAGCCACAGCTGGCCGCTCTCTGTCTCGAGACCATCGACACCAACACTGCCGAGGCCCTCAGCGCTGACGGCTTCACTGACATCGACATTGATTCTCTCACAGCTGTCCTGGAGAGGGACACCCTGCGCATCAGGGAGATCAACCTCTTTCAGGCTGTTGTCAGGTACATTAATTAATTGTTTGATTTAATATAAAATTTTAGCAGAGAAAATCTCTGTTTACATACGTTGTCAATTTTATTTATCATTATAAAAAGTAAATTTTAGAAAGGTAAAAACTTGATTTTGTGGATTTAAAGATATAATGAAAATAATTATGAAATTTTTCTAAAGTGAAAATTTAAAAAAAAAAAATGCAAACGGATATTTTGGATTTTCCAAAATTTGAATTAAATATTAAATATATCAATTACTTTTTCATTATTAAACTACAACAAGACTAAGCTGATATTAAACTATTTTTATTAGTCAGATTTTATTTATATAAAAATAGGAAGCAATAAAATTGGTTAAAATCCCTTTTTTCCAGATGGTCCGAAGCAGAGTGCGCCCGTCAAAATCTTCCAGCCACCCCTGAGCATCAGCGTTCAGTTCTGGGACGCGCCGTCCTGCTTGTCCGCTTTCCCCTGATGAGCGTAGAGGAATTCGCTCAAGGGCCAGCCCAATCAGGTCTTTTATCCGACCGAGAACTCGTCTCCCTTTTTCTCTACTTCACCGTCAACCCGAAACCAGCCATCAACTTCCTCGACGCTCCCCGCTGCTGCAACCTGGGCAAGGAGTTGACCATCAACCGCTTCAAGGAGGTTGAAACGCGCTGGGGCTACTCGGGCACCAGTGATCGAGTTCGATTCACCGTCGACAAGAAGATCTACGTCATAGGTTTCGGTCTTTACGGGTCCATCCACGGCCCTGCCGACTACTCGGCCACCATCGAGATCATCCACACAGTTTCTGGCCGGGTGATCGCCTCGAACCACATCAGCTACAGCACCGACGGCTTCAACAACACATTCCGTGTGACCTTCAAACAGCCTGTTGAGATCATGGCCAACAATAGCTACATTGCCTCAGTCACCATCAAGGTATGGGTGCGGTTTGAATAATGATTTGAAATTTTATGAAAAAATATAATTTCTCAGGGGCCTGATTCTCATTACGGCAGCAAAGGAATGCGGAAGGTCACTTTGGACTGTCCGTCGGGAAGCAAGGTCACTTTCAACTTTTCCTACGCCGCAGGTAACAACAATGGCACCTCCGTCGAGGACGGCCAAATCCCAGAGATCATTTTCTGCTTCTGAACAGGTTGTAATCGATGCAATTTCCAACTTGTTGGGGTTTAGTTAAGAAAAGTATTGCTGTGAAACCTATTTATAATTGCATTATTTTCCCAGATGGTTTATTTTGTACATTTCTCTGAAATTATTCAGCACTCGAGGTGGTTGTCGGCATATTGCATTCTGGCATTTAGAGTTTATATTTTTAAGCAGGCATTTCATTTTCCAATTGCTTGAAAAGCGTGCATTCTAAATTAATTTTACTAACTGAATTGATTAGTTTTATCTCCGAGGCATTGAAAATATAACCATATATATGAACATGTAGCTTGAATTTATTCTTTTTGTTATTCCTCAAACACGGTTTCAAGGGTGAGACTTGGCTGTGAGTGAAACTTCATTTCCAAATGGCACGGAGGGCTGCCCGGCCTGAAATTGGCATCCAGGCTGTGCCTTCGTGACACAATTTTGGGCATTTGGTGCACTTGGTTGAAATTATGGATCACATGTAGCGACTCTTGTGACCTGCTCTTGTACTCTTCTTCAACCTCGTCAATCAAAATTTGCCTGGTATGGTAGATGTGCGTTTTGTACTTCAAATTAAAATACCAGATAAAAATTACAAAAAGGGCCATGATGGGAATCGTAATCGCCGTGCAGGCGATGCACGCGGTTTGCGAAACGTCCCAGAATTTGACCCACGCCACCAGTGGCACTTCGAGGAGGAAAATTAGCAGGCCAAAGACGTTGGAAATTCTTTGGCTTGCCTTGATGAACCTCGAGTACTGTTCGTGTGGTGAAAACGAGGGCACGGCGTTCATTTTGGTTTGGCCCTCTTGAGGCGCCACGTACTCTTCCTTGGCAACTTGAAAGTTGGGCAGCAAACACGTGCCGATGATAACAGAGAACGCATGCAAGGCGATCAAAATGACTGAGTTCACCGAAAGAAGCGAAACGACGAAGGAAGGTACTGCAGTGGGGCTGTTGAATTGATATGATGTCAGGATTCCCTGAAATGAATTTGCATGTAAACATTAAATTTTATGATTTATAAAAAATATACCGTTCCAAAAGCAACCAAAAATGTTGAAGTTCTAGTCGTCATTTGCAGCTTTGCGTGTGCGTAGTGGAAATTCCGCCATTGTATTCCCTCTTTGGTTTCGAGAATTTTCAAAGAATTCGGCATTACTTTTTTGTTGACTGGTTTCTGCACAAAGAGGAACTGAAATGCTTTAACTTATCGGCAGGGTGATTGAGCAAGCGTTTCAAACCCTGTGTAGGTTTGAAAATGTGATAAGTTTTTATCCGCTCATTGACAAACATGAAATTGCATAAAAATTTAAACCCTTTTTTTAAATAAAATATTAGCATTATTCTTAATTTCACCCCATATATATCAATACATGTAATTATTTTTTTCGGATTTTTTAATATATCGTCCCTAAGGAAGTGTGGAAATTAGTTTTTTTTTTTAAATATACGCACGACTTTTTTACACCTAAAAAATTATATGGATCAAAGGCAAAATAAAACAAGTTTATTTTAAACATAAAATCGTCATTAAACTTTATTATTCAATAACCTCTGTAGTTTCACATAAATGAGACATGCTGTTTCTGTGAAAACTATGTTCTCTCAAATGGTGTGGGTTGCTGCCAGGCCTGAAATTGGCATCCAGGCTGTGCCTTTGAGACACGTTTATTTCAGAGAAATGATGCTCTTCACCAAAAATATCAGTCATTTCCAAAGATTCCCCCGACCTGCTTTTGTACTGGTTTTCAACTTCTTCGATCACAGTTTGCCGGTTTTTGTACATATGCGTTTTATACCCGAAGTTGAAAAACCATACAAAAGTGGCAAAAATGACCATAAAGGGCACCATGACCGCCGTGCTGGCGATGCACGCGTTTTGCGAAAGGTCCCATAATTTGACCCAAATTACCAGTGGCACTTCGAGGAGGAAAACGAACAGGCCGAAGACGTGGGAAATTCTTTGGCTTGTCCTGATGAACCCGGAGAACTGCTCGTGTGGCGAAAACGAGGGCACGGCGTTTATTTTTGTTTGGCCCTCTTGAGGCGCGACGTACTCTTCATTGACGGCCTTCAAGTGGGGCAGCAAACAGGTGCCGATGACAAAGGCGAATGAGTTCATTGCGATCAAAACGACGGTGTTCACCGAGAGGAGCGATGTTATCCAGGATGGCGCGTGAGAGGGCTGAGTGAATTGGAAGGACGTCATGATTTCCTAAATTAAATCAATGTAAAAAATCAAATCTAAAATTTCAAATATATACCATTCCGAAAGCAGCCAAAAATATTGAAGATCTGGTCGTGCTTTCAAGTTTTGCATGTCCGTAGTGGAAATTACGCCATTGTATGCCCTCTTTGGTTTCCAAAATTTTTGAAGAGTGTGAACAAGAACTTACGTTTGCCATTAACTTAGTGACTATTTAAACTGAGCAGGGACTCAAATTAAGAAATATATAGCGCGCCGAAACCCCGCAGTTCTTGAATGTGATAAGTTACTGGGTTTTTCTGAAGTAAACACCATACAAAAAAAATACGTAACTTCTGCCTGACCAATATAATATATTAAAAAACTATAAACATCAAATGTCTGCACGATCCATTGTGAAAATTGAGGGTTTATAACCAAATCTGATTTTATAATAATTATAAGATCCGTTTTTGCTCTTGATTTTCCAAACAAATTTTGGGTACAATCGGAGAAAAAAATTAAATAATTACATCAATTATTTGCTATTAATTTATTTATTTTAATGAATTTTGTCCCACCAATTTTTGTTCAAGTTTCAAGGCAAAATCTTTTGGTTAAATCAGGTAAAATTATGAATAAGTACTAATTTTTTTTTTTAAAGCTAATAAGCTTGCAGATTTATTCACTGCGGATGGAAAACTAAGAACATTGTGTTTCCATAAACACAAATCAACTAAAAAAGCCAAATCTTAATCTGTTCTATATAAAAAAAAAACATTTTGAATCAATATTTCATTTCTATATCTCTCTTTAATGTGCAATTTTTAACAGAAATTAAATAACAAAATGTCAGTTTTATTAAAAATTTAGTTATTAATAACAGCCACCGCAAGTGATTAAATTTTTACATGCTAGGATATTTAGTTGGCAATGATCTCGTCCTTGTGCAGTTGTAGGAATCACCCGCAGAACTAATCCTCCTATTAGAAATTTGGTCCAAATTCTCATTGGAACACGCATAAGTGCAAGCGTCGCGTTTCATTTGATTGTAAAGCAATTCCACATTATCGATGACTTCAATTCTATTGAGGTAGATTTGCGTGTTGTAGCTGAAGTGGAAGTACCACCAGAAAAACACAAAGGCCATCATGAACGGCAGCATGATGACAGTGCTGGCGACGCAGGCCTTGAGCGACACGTCCCAAAACTTGACCCACGCGATCAAAACGATCTCGACGAGAAAAACGAAGAGGCCGCCGACGTGCGAAATTCGGTGGCTCAAGCGAATGTAACCCTTGAACCTGGCGTGCGGCAAAAAATTCGGCACTTTCTCGAGGGGACCTTCCGAGGGCGGGTGGTACTCTTTGGTGGTGGCGTGCATGTATGGGGAGAGCCACGTGCCGATGATAAAGGCCAGGCAGTGCATCGCTATGACCGCGACGGTGTTGACCGAGAGAAGGGTCATCAGCCAGGAAGGGACGTTTGACGGATAAGTGAAGGCGTAGGCGGACATTACGTCCTGCAGACAAATCAAAATATTAATGAAAACAATTCATAAATCAAACGGATCTAAAAATTCCAGAAAATCAAATTTCATAATTTTAATAAAATAGTTTCCCATAGATCGCTTTTGGCAAGTAATTTTCTTTCAGAAAAATTTTCCACTGTCAAAAATTACAAACTAAAAGAGGGTTTTAAAGTTACCCAAGAGGCAAATAGAACAGCGCTAAATTTAATTTGACATTTTCTGCTGCTTAAAATGGATTTAAAACCATCAAATGAGTATACTTTTTGTTAGTAGAGTAAAGAAAGTGTAAATATGACTCACATTGCGACTATTTTTTTTTTACCATTTTAGCATGCTATGGGCAAACAAATCAGAGATCACGTTGCTTTTTTTCAATTTAATACTTTTGCCATTCAAAAAGAACTAAAAAAATTATTTTATAATATTAGTTAAATATGAAAGGTTAAATATTAATTCCATCGGTATCATCCACAAGGAAGTTTATTTTTAAGATGAAAAAAATGTCATAAATAAATTTGCAATAGATTATTTTATTAATACAATTTAATATTATATTTTTAATATAACTTCAAAATTCAATCTTACAAGGCAGAATTAGAATAAAAAATTGACTATAATTCTTTTTTCATCAAAGCTGAGCATCAATCTTAACTTATATTGACACTATTTGAATTAAGACAAAAAGAGATGATTCACTTATTTTGAGCTGACAAAAAATGTTGGAATGTATAAAAATTAAGAAAAATCTATCAAACAGAATTTGTTCACCATTCCGAAGGCAGCAAGAATAATTGAGCTGTACGTGGAGCTATCCAATTTTGCACGTCCGACGTGGAAATTGCGCCAGGCGAGACCCTCCTGCGATCCAAGAAATTCACCTCGACTATTTTGACAATGGGACCTTTGTCTAGCCATTCTGAGGACAAACTGCGTTCAATTTTTGACTCTATTAGCTAATGACGTGTTAGGCATCAGCGATGGGCGATAAAAAAAATTGGGTTGGAAAAACGAAAACAAGCGTGGTTTATTTTTGTTGCTAACGTTACCATTTAGCTGTAGGACACTCAATGGATATTTTATTTACAAAAGAACACGTGGTCTTTCTTTACATCAATTTTTCACATGTTAAAAAATAATAAATTGCAACTTGATAACACATTTATATATATTTGCTAATTGTAGCGGTAATAATTGTAATAAGTCACACAAAAAGGTAATACAAATTTGTAGGGAATTACTAATTAACCTTGGTGTCGCCCCTGCAGGTGCAAGGAAAGGAGCTGACGATGAGGTTAGCAGTTTAGGCTCCTTGGCAGTGGTAGGCAAAAAATCAGGTAACCCTCTGACGCCAATTTCAGGCTTTTTGTCTTTTTTCATCGAGTCTTAAACTAAATAAGACCAGGCACAAAGCACTCACGAAAATAAATAATAAATAATTTCGACTCCAATTTAAATACACCAACATATTTTTCCTAAAACTAAATACAGATCACAATCATTCATTATAATAAGACTTTTGAAATGTTGCGCCTGGAAAAGTCAGCTAAAAGGCCTGTACCACACACACCAGAGCTATTTAAA